GAGAGTATGTTGGTCATTGAGTCTGTGTGTGACTATCAGTGTGTCAGTCAATGAGTGTCAACCAGTGTGGGTCTGTCAGTGTCAATGAATGAGTGTGTCAGATCAATGAGTCTGTGTCTGTCAGCGACGTCTGTGTGTTTGTCATTGAGTGTGTGACTGTCAGTGTGTACAGAGTGTAGTGGAGCAGAGCGCGGTACAGGAGCTTCTGTTTCCTGTACCTGGCCAGACTGACAGGAGGTGCTCACAGAGAGAGCACTCCCTGTCAGGCCGGCCGGGTACAGGAAACTGAAGCTCCTTTAGGGGATCTGCTCCGCTCGGCAATGCAACAATAGAGGTAGGAGGCACACCAGGAAGCGGAGTGTGACCACTAAAGGGGTGTGGGGTGCACCAAAGGACAGGGAGGGAATGGGAGAGAAACACCAAGAGACAGGGAAAAAAGGGGGGAGTGGAGAAGAACACTAAGGGACAGGGAAGGGAAGGGACCACTAATGGTCGGGCAGGGGAGAGGGGCTGGTTAAGAGGCACATAGGTGAAGATTTTTTGGGGGGGGGCCATGGGGGGGCGGAAAAATGCATCTTCGCCTATGCACCTAAAAATCCAAGCACCGGCCCTGGGTATAATGGGCAAGCAAAAAAGATCTGCGTGACTTTGACAATGGCCAAATAGTATCTGCAAAAGGACACATCTTGTGGGGTGTAGGCAGTGGTTAGTACCTACCAAACATGGTGCAAGGAAGGACAACCAGTGTCAGTGTCATAAGCGCACTTTGAGGAGACCAAAAGCTAGTCAATCTGGTACGATCACACAGGAGAGCAACTGTAGCTCAAATTGGTGAAAAAAGTAAAAGGACACTATGGGCACCCAGACCACTCCATTTCATTACAGTGGTCTAAGTGTAGTGTCCCTGTACCAATAAACCTGCAGCAGAAAACATTGCAATTTTTGAGAAAATGCAATGTTTAACATTGCAGGGTTAGGACTACTTTTAGTAGCGGTCTACCACACAGCCACTGGAGGTGCTTCCTGTTGTTTCAAAGTGTTTAATTCTTTACATGAGGATGTCCAGGATCATCTAAAGTTTATCTGGTGACTTCATCAATCTACAGTGTCAGAACATACAGTGTATTGCAAATTGCTGTGTATGGGGCTGCAAAGTAGCAGACTGATCAGAGTGCCCATGATAACACCTGTCCACAACCGAAAGCACCTTCAATGGGGACATAGGTGTCAAAACTGAACCAATGAGCCATGGAAAAAGGTTGCCTGTTCTGATGAATCACGTTTTCTTTTAGATCAGGTGGATGACCGTGTGTATTGTATGTGTGTTGTTTACCTGGGGACGAGATGACAGCAGGAAGCAGTGTTATGCTCTGGGCAATATTCTGCTGGAAAACTTTGGGTCCTGGCATTCATGTGGATGTTACTTTGAGACTTACTAACTAGAGATTGTTGGGGACCACATACACCCCTTTGTGACAATGGCGTTCCCTGATGTGGTAGTGGCTTCTTTTAGGAGGATAATATACCCTGACAGTTGTTCAGCAATGGTCTGAGGAACGTGACAAAGAGTTCAAGATGTTGTCTTTGTGCTGGAACAACAAATCTGATTGAGGGAGGCCCCACCGTGCAACTTGCAACACAATTCTTGCAATGACAACATATATACACATACCGAGTTAGATCATGTGGTGTATTCTTATGACATGATTTTCTATGCCATAGACCAGGGGTAGGCAACCTTCGGCACTCCAGATGTTGTGGACTACATCTCCCACAACGCTCTTACAGCCATGATGCTGGCAAAGCATCATGGGAGGTGTAGTCCAAAACATCTGCAGTGCCAAAGGTTGCCTATCCTTGCTGTAGACATCACTCCCGGTGTTCGGAACAGGCTGACAGTGAAGGGATAATACTCTAATTGGGGAGTGTAATTGTTCAATTATTTTTGTCTATATATACACATATTTATGGTTTTATCATAATCTTGATAATAACCCTGTGGGGTCAAAAGTTTTGGGAATGTATTACTAAAGTTAATTCCACGGTTAGAAGTCCTTTGAGTGCTGTCAATTTGATTGAAGTAACAAGCCTTTGTCTAGACTAGCACGGGTTAATATGAAATTGAATATTCAGTTGTTGCTTCCCTAGATATAATATGCTTTTATTATGTCAATAAATTAAAAAACTGAAACAGAAGAACGAACAGATTCACTCATTATACAGGAAGAAAGCGCTGATCACAGTAATTTAATTCCGGAAGTACTAATCTTGTTAACAGTAAGCAGAGCTCTTTAAATTGCTCCTGGTGGTATGTGATCTTTCCGTGATGGGTGGGGTGGACAAATTTGTTCAAGGAGAATATGTATGAAAATTTGGAAAGATAGGATGAGAGCCAGGTGAAGACTGGACCAGTGATAGCAAAATTAGCCTAATATGACAAATTATGATGATAAAACTTTATCAAATATAGCAGAAAGGTTAAAGAGGATAAAAAATGATAACATCTGTATACTCCGTCAGTGAGAAGAGCAGTTTCTAGGACAGTTGTTATTTCAAATGTATATGTTTTCCTGTCCCATCTTACATTTTTCTCTGCCCTAGGCTCCCCTTTCTTCTCATCTGTCCCCTAAAAATATTGTTAAAAAAATAATAATATATGGGGGGCGTGGCTAGCAGTGACTAACCACATGCAATAATATTGATTGTCATGCAATGTTTGATAAAGATGGTACCTGCTGTTGTGCCATGGCTAGCAAGTTTGTAACTTTATGCACAAATAAAAAAAAATAATATAAAAAAATAATAATATATATATATATAGATTATTGTCCGTGCACTTAGTTCGATTCACTTTTGTGCAAAAACCTGCAAATGTTTGGAACACGCAGGGTTGAAAATTTTACTTTTTAATGGGGATCAGAGATACAAACTGCATGCACTCCTCTCAAAGGCAATATTGGGATTTAGTTGAGAGGGGTGCATGCAGTTGGTCTGTCTGATCCCCATGAAAAAGTTAAGTTTTCAACCCTGCGTGTTCCAAACATTTGCAGGTTTTTGCACAAAAGTGAATCGAACTAAGTGCACTGACACAGGGAAAGGGGGGAGGGAGAGACACAGGGAAAGGGGGGAGGAACAGAGATGGGGAGAGGGGAGATGGAAGAGAGATGGGGAGAGGGGAGAGACACAGGGAAAGGGGGGGAGAGATGGGTTGGAGGGAGAGACACAGGGAAAGGGGGGAGGGAGAGAGATGGGGAGGAGGGAGAGACACAGGGAAAGGGGGTGAAAGAGGCAGAGGGGGAAGAGAGAGACAAAGAGGGAGAAATGAGAGAGACACACAAGGGGAGGGGAAGAAAAAGGCAGAGGGGGAAGAGAGAGACTGGGAAGGAGAGGGGAGACATTGACACAGAGGAGCAGTGAGGGGGAGAAAGAGAGGACCCGGGGCAACGGTCCGGCTCTCACGAGGGTGAACTCTAGCCCTGGAGCTACGGGCTAGAGTTCACTCTCACCACTTCCTGGTGGTCGCAGTAGTAGGAGTGAACTCTAGCCCCATACACACACTGCCCACACACACACACACCGCCCACACTCTCACCATACACATTCACACACTGCCCCCACACACACACACACACACACACCATACACATTCACACACTGCCCCCACACACTCACACACTGAACCTTTCACACACATTGCACCCCTCACACATTGCACCACTGCTCCTATACTCTACTACAGCCCCATATCCCAGCAGACTCCAGGTAAGTTGTCAAACAGTTCTTAAACGGTTTGACTACTTACTCTGGGAGGGGGTGCGGACACTCCTGGCACCATAACCACTACACAGAGGAGTAGTGGTTATTGTACATGGAATATTTCTTTAAATAATCTACAAGTGCCCCTCCCGGGCTCAGGCTCTGGATCCGTCACTGGTATATGACATGTATATTAATGTGTATATTAGTTTTATATATATATATATATATATTATATTTACACATATTAATGTACATTTATATATGCATAATACACAGAGAAATTTCATTAATATGTACCATATGTAATGAGCAGATATTGGCCCAGTCTTGTTGCTAGGTGCATACTCCAGCACAATAACATATTTAAAGTGAAGAGCACACCCACAGGACTTCAAAATAAACATTTTTTACAGTTGTGCCCTACATACATTCACCATTTCAGTCCCATTAACAAGCTTTCCTTAATATGTCAAGGTAGTTGGACTGAAACATTGATTACATGCAAAGGCACGTCTGCTTAAAATAAATCTGCACTTTTGTTTATTTTGAAGCCTATGAGTGCGCTTTTTACGTTGAAGTACTTTTTAATTTTAAGTTATCTGTTCTAACTCTGTATCTGCACACTATGCTGGCGCGACGCATTATGGGGCTGGTAAATATTTGACAGTTACAGTTACAGTGACAGTTACAAGTAGACAGATTGTTTACTTTTTAAATGGAAACATTTGGAACTTACATGCATTGATTTCCTCTCATGCACATTTACACACACACACATGCAGATACAGACATAAAGATACACGCACTGACACACATGCAGATACACAGACACACAGAGACAATGACACACACAGACACACATACAGATATGCAGACACAAACTCTAGAACACATGCAGATGCACAGACACACACACTGACACACATGTAGATGCACAGACATACAGATACAAATATAGACACAAATACTAGCACACGTGCAGATGCACAGACACAGAAATACAAACCGTGACAAACATACAGTTGCACAGACACACTGATACACACACACACTGCCACACATACAGATGTACAGATATGCAGATACAAACAATGACACACGTACAGACACAGACACAAATAGCAGCAAATAAAGATACACACACTAACACACATACAGATACACAGATACAAACATTACCTACACACAGGTCAACATTTTAGCCACCCTCCAGTTCCAGTTAATTACAAAACATACAGAAAACAGTTTCAAATGAATTTTATTACAAAAAGGCATTATTTTTACTATGTTTGCAAAAAGTTTGCAAAAAGGTTATTGTCTACAGGTGCATACATGTAGCAACGCATATTACAGAAACAGTGATGCTATGCATAGTTATCACATACCATATCCATTTCACACAGCGCTAGCCAGATACTGCCCTGATGCACATTAGTCTGTGTATATACAAATTTCCCTATAGCTATTGCTTGGCTTAGAAGCAAACAACAATCACACAGTCAAAAGGCCAAAGGATAGGGCGAAAGGTGCCTCCATATGGACAACTTAAAGCTTATGCTGGTGGACATAATTCCTAATTGTTGTTCTAGAGAACATTGGCCCATTTCTATACAACATTCCACCTGTGGGTTTGTTTTGCTATGTATATGTGCGTGCGTGTACATATATATATATATATATATATATATATATACATATATAGGGCTTAAAATGGCAACTCCTGCACTGCTAGCCAGGTCACTGCAAACCTAGGTCGCCAGGGCTGAAGTTTTACTTACCAATGGCTAGTGTGTGTATCACAGCAGCAGCTATGTTGCTGTTCTCACAAATCTTGGGCAGGAGGGAGCATGTATGTTCCAGTTTTGTCCCGGAAGTAAGTATTGCCCCAAGTGGACAGTGCTAGTCACACCACGCAATACGTTTTAATTGCATGGCATGACACTGCACAATGTGCAATTAAAATAATAATAGGCAGATCATGCAATATTATTTTATATGATCTCATCAGTTTGGTAATTTTTTCATATCCATCTGACAGTGACTTTACGGGAGTGCCTGACTATTTTCTATCATATATATATATCATAAACACAGGTATTCACAGTTATGTGCACATAAATATACAGTGAGTGCATTTGCTGAAATACATACAGTAGTTCTATAGATATATTTTACATTGCAATGTTTATTTAGAAAAATGCATTGCATTGTGTATACACCTATAAATAAATTAGCATATTTACAAGTATATTAAGCTCTTTATATAAATAGATAAAATCCTATGCACAGATGCACACAGAGGTCTATATACATAACTGTCTATATATAAGTATACATAGGTCAGTGTATATAAATATACAAATGGTGCTGTATACAGGGGACCACATAGTTCTGTATGTTCAAATGTACACCTTATTCTGGGTAATGTACAAATACAAACTGCTCAATTCACTGTTCTTGCAGTGCATAAAAGGACAACTAGTATAAGTAAGCGCGTAAAAATTTTAAATCTCATACTTTGAAAAAAAATTGGATATTTAAAATTACACAGTATGGTTTTGTTTTTGTTTAAATGGGGGAAGCCGTTTATTTTTATTTTTTTGCTTCCACCTTACTTTTTCGAAAGCCTACAGGAAATGTTCTTTAGAGGTTATTTAATTTTAAAGTGCACTTCCCCTAGCTAGTTTCAACACATGAAAATGTTTACCCATATAGTTGTGAAAGGTAGAAAAAGCTCTTTGAAAATGGGAGCGATTTGAATATTGGCTAGTTTCCCTTTAAAGTGCTGGTATATATTCTGATCACGTTTTAGGACATCCGACAGCATCGAAGTAATTTTCCCTCGTCTTCTTCATCCTCTTCCATGGGAGATTTTAGCCTCAGGATGGGGGGGTCCCCACTGCTTGGTGTATAATAGATAGGTGTTCCATTAAAACACCAAGTTGGGGTCCCAGGTTCGCTGGAATAGTCTAGGGACCCTGCTCTTTGTAAGTCTCCGTTAATCCTCTGTGAGTATCTCCCTTGTTTGGCTGCTGATCTCTGCCGTTTTAGCTCAGAGAGGGTGATGGGCGTTTGGTCCAAGATGCTGTTCCACAGAGATCCTGAGTTATAAGATGGCAGGGAGTGGTTGGAGTTACCATTGATTACTGGAGTGGGTAGGCTTGAATCACTGATGGTCGGAGGGCAATAGAAGGAAGGAATAGGGGAGCAGTAACCATTCCGATACTGAGGTTCTGAAAAGTTGTCCTGCAGACCTAATGAAGGCTGAACGTCCATTGGTTCTCTCTGTGGAAAAAAAAAAAGAGAGAATATTATCAGTATGTCACAGTGCAGGAGATGTTCTGGACACGCTCACATTTGAGCACTGCATCTGCACACCAATCAGGTCTTTCATTTCCTGCCACTGTGTGGCGACTAATCACAACACTGCTGTAGTGAAAGATGCATACATGGAAGACGCACTTATTATCGTATGGATACATTAGGCTCAAACAAGTAATATTATATCAGAAGTGGAATATGCTTAAATGGCGTTTTAAAAAAAGATACACACGATTGGAATGGACTCCCCACTATTTAAAATCATATAAAAAGTGAAAAATGTAAATAAAAAAAATACTTCTTCACCGTAGAAGTTCTTGCAATTGCTGCATGTCTACAAGAATTGCATCTCTAGCACTAACCTTTCCCAGATCAGGAAATTCTAGAAACTTCTGAACCAGTTTTGGCCATTTGTGGTTTTTAACCGAACAGCAATTGTTTGAGGGATACAGTAGTTTCATTCATGAAAAGATATTCATGACACCACTATGGAAGAAGGCATACATAAGGCACATGTATGGCGCACACATCATGCAAGTATTCATTCAAGCACTGGAAGTTATACCTATCTATTGTGATGTTATGAAGCAAAATGGCAGATGGGCTTATAATTTAAGTATTTTTTGCAAATGGCTTTTGTTAAATGCATGATAATGCAGAAAGTCACAAAAGTGCCCTTAAATCAAAGACAGTGTTGATGTCCACATGTGTTCCAAAAAATAATGTTTCAAAACTGATAAGATGGCTGACTGCCTCTCCTCGATTTCCAACTGGATTGCTGCTTACTTCCTTAAACTCAACCTGTCAAAAACAGAACTTCTGGTCTTTCCTCCCTCAAGTACTGCTACTCCCGTGTCTCCCTCCCCCCAAGTCAAGGGAGCCACCATCACCTCTACCTCGCAGGCTCACAGCCTAGGTGGTCTCTTTGACTCCGACCTCTCCTTCACCCCTCATGTCCAGTTGATTGCCAAATCCTGTCGCTTCCATCTCAAAAATATGGCTCGTATCCGCCGTTATTTAACACCAGATGCAGCTATGGTGCTGGTCCATGCCGTTGTTCTATTTCTGATTACTGCAATCCCCTTCTCAATGGTCTTACGTGTTCCCAGATTGCACCGCTGCAATTTATAATGAACGCGGTGGCAAGGCTCATTTTCCTGTCCGCCCGCACCACCCACGCTTCCCCCCCCTCTGTCAGTCCCTATATTGGCTTCCAGTTAGATATAGGGCTCAATTGCTGCCCCAACCTACTTATCCTCCCTAATACACAAATATGTCCCGTCGAGGCCCCTGCACTCTGCCGAAGACCTACGCCTATCCTCTGTCCGTACTCCCACATCTGATGCTTGCCTCCAAGACTTTTCCACGGCTGCACCTTGTCTGTGGAACTCCTTTCCCTTCTCCGTTAGACTTTCACCCAGTCTCCACACCTTCAAAAACATCTTTGAAATCAAACTTCATCAGGAAAGCATATCGTCTAAACTGTTAGCGGGTTTTCATCCCCCCAGCCCCCATGACTCCTCTCCTGCAACTGTCAAAAATAACCTACTAAGTTCTTAGTGATTACTTTTCTAGCAACCTATTTCATTACCCCTACTTATACCCCTACTTACCCCCTACATTACCCCTACTTAGCCCTTTGTGTCACTATCAGGGCCACCATCAGGGGGCAACAACCATGACGGTTGTCATGGGCCTCACGTGGAGCGGCGGAACTGCTGCCGGTGCATCTGCACCAGGGCCCACACACTAATGGGGCCCAACAGGTGGCCCAAGCATTTAGGGCCACCCAATGGGCCCTATTATCTTCAGGGGCCCAGTCAGCGCTGTAATAGCGCGACCGGGCCCCTTTAAAAAAAAAAAAAAAAAAGCGGCCGCAACACAAGTTCTGCTGGGAGGAAGTGACGGCCAGACGGTCACTTCCTCCCAGCTTACTCCGCGTGGGAATTAGAAAGCAGCCTGAAGGCCGAGAGGAGAGGCAGCCGACTCACATCATCCCCAGCCACCCTCCTGCAACGAAAAGGTAAGGAAGAGGGGGGTGGCTGGAAAATGAGGTGTGTGTATATGTATATGTATGTATGTATGTGTGTGTGTGTATGTATATGTGTGTGTGTGTGTGTGTGTATGTAAGTATGTGTTTGTATGTATGTATGTGTGTGTATATGTATGTACATGTATGTATGTATGTATGCCAGTATGTATGTGTGTCTGTATGTCGGTATGTATGTATGTATATATCAGTATGTATGTGTGTGTATATGTCAGTATGTATGTATATATCAGTATGTATGTGTGTGTCAGTATGTATGTCTGTATGTATGTATGTCTGTCAGTTTGCATGTCAGTATGTATGTCTGCATGTATATATGTGTGTATGTGTGTATCTGTATCTCCTTATGCATGTGTGTGTGTCTGTATATGTGTGTGTGTGTCTCAGTATGTGTGTGTCAGTATGCCTGTATGTGTGTATGTCTGTTCCAGTATTTGTATCTGTTAGTATGTGTGTATCTTTCTGTGTGTGTCTGTGTCCGTTTGTGTCTGTGTGTGTGTATTCCTGTGGCCGGACTTGGAGGCGGGCATCCGGGGACCCAGACCTTGAGCTGTGTTAGGGCCCCAGAATTTCTGATGGCGGCCCTGGTCACTATACCCCACTTCCTTAGCATGTAAACTCATTGAGCATAGCCATCAACCCCTCTGTTCCTGTGCGTCCATTTGTCTGATTACAATTACATGTGTTAGTCCACCCATTGTACAGCGCCACGGAATTTGCTGGCGCTATATAAATAATCAAATAATAATAATATAGACAACAGCCATCTTACATTGGGCGCACACACAGTGATCAAATCCTTTTTGCTGCTGCTTCTCAAAGCAACTTAAAATGTATTATTTTTAATGTCTGCAATAAGAACAAAATGGAATTGAAATATGCTGAAGATAAAGTCACATTAGCAACAGATTTGCGTAACTCTGGTTCTGAAGTGGTTAAAACACATCGATGCATAATTGTAAAAAAAATACAGAGCACTATAGGAAAACAACCACAGTGTGTACACTAGCAGCCCCTGACTTTCGCCTCAACGCAATGATGTTGTAGCTTGGAGCAATTCCTCCATCTGTTTTTACCTACAGTAAATTCTTCTTAAACCGTCTGAATTCCTAAGATGACAAACCTTAATGACATGTTTTGCTATAGGTTTCTCCTTGTTATCTTCTGTGCATATAGAATTATCTACATTCCTAATCATTCTAATGTGCAATAGCATAACATGAATTACTGTTCAATGAGCATCTGGTACTCATGTTAACCCTGTATATACTCTAACCTCTGCTAACAATTAACTATTACTGCACAGATATGTATAACAATAAAAAACGATGAATGATTGTGTAATTGAGGAAACATTACGAAACTTGTCATTATGGAATAATGCATTGTCTTGCAATAAGGTTTCACCAAATAATTATTGGTCACAGGGGATACCAAACAGGGGTATATGTTAACAACCTAAATATGTTAGACATTATTTATCTTTTCTACCCCTTTGTTAAGAGAGTTTAGGAAGTTGGTGAATACATGTTTGGATGAAATTTGCAGTGCAATTATTACACGTGAAAACGGATAGTCTTCACTACAACTTTGTGTTGAGTGAATGAACCTGTGACAAATTCCTTATTTTATTTATTTTTTATTTTATCTTACTGTAACGAACCCTTCTACTTCGTATAGTATGTTCGTTCGCACTCTCCCGAACTCATAAGGTCATGTGAATTATAGCCCATTCGTATAGTACGTTCATTCGTACTCTCCCGAAAATCCAATCAGGTTGTGAGAAATAAATCGCTTTGTCGTTCACATACCCAAACATCAGTCGAAACTTCATGAACAACAGGAATGTTTTATTATGTCTAGATGGCCCACTTTTATACACAGACCCCCAGCATGGGGTCTCCAGTAGAAACATGGGTAAAACACACCTCTGTGTGTGGGAGATAAGTGAGTGTACTTTGTTTCAACTAATTATCTCCCAGGCACTAGAGGTACAGAAAATAAAACATAAAAGCCCCCGAAACATACACAATATTAATAGGAACCCCCACAAGTCTTATATCCCTGGATCGCCTGGACCTAAGTACCCAAAGTGTCCAAATAGCTCTCAGATCCCAGTCAAAGCATGGATACTTCCACTTTCGGGAGTTCTAAAATGAACAAAATACCGAACGGTTCCCCTGGCTCATATGTAGCGATTGTTCGTCTCATTGCGCGTACCTTTCCACCGAACAGCACTCTCCTGGCTTGTCGGGAACAGAAGCAGGCGGTGGTACAAAGTTACTGGTGTTCGGGAGGTCTCGTATCCAGCCTGGAGTTACAGATGCTCAACGACCAAGTACCGCTGCATGTGTCTTTCGGTTATATGAACGCGATCACAAGAGAGAGCACTTAACTTTGTGGTTACTTTGAAGATAATGAGCCAGGGGGTGGTCTACGTTCAGTTACTGGATCCCCGATGATCCCACGGAATAGCTGGCTTATGCAGTGCCTGCAGGGGGACAGCCTGAGCTCTCAGGCTGTCCCCCTAGAGCCCGTACAAAAGTTTTAAAAAGTTAATAAAAGTTATAAAACAGTTTTTAAATTAAATAAAAAGTACTTAGATCAAGTGTATTTTAATATTAATATATATAATTATATTGTAATAGAACACAATAATTGGGGAATATGTATAAAATTTATAAAATGAGTCATGTTCTGAAAAGATGACTTTGTATACATAACTCCTATAATAATTATATATATATATTAATATGAAAATACACTTAGAATGATGTTAATTATATATATAATTATGTTTATGTAAAATAAAAATGATCAATAAATAAATAAATTAAAAAAGAAACAATAAATTACATTTTTAAAATAAAATTATATACCTGTTTAAATTTGTTCTAACTGTATTTTAATATTAATATATAAAAATACATTTAGAATGATGTTATAAACTTATCTATGTATCTATCTATCTATATATACCGTATATACTCGAGTATATATTTGTGCTGAAAAACCACCACTCGGCTTATACTCGAGTCAGTCTGTATTATGGCAACTTACATTGCCATAATACAGACCAGGACCGCCGGGCTCATTACAAGCCCGGCGGTCCTGTTGGGGGCTGGCAGTGAGCTCTTACTTACCTTCCTGCAGCTCCTGTCAGCTCCCTCCTCCTCCGTGCAGCTCCTCGGTCAGCTCCGTTCTGCTCACAGTGTAAGTCTCGCGAGAGCCGCAGGTCTCGCGAGACTTACACTGCAAACAGAACGGAGCTGACCGAGGAGCTGCACGGAGGAGGAGGGAGCTGACAGGAGCTGCAGGAAGGTAAGTAAGAGCTCACTGCCAGCCCCCCCACTGAACTGCCAATGCCACTGCACCACCAGGGATTCGATATTATTATTTTAATATTATTTTATTTTAATAATATTATTAAAATAATATATTAAAATAATAACATTATTTTATTATTATATTATTATTATTGTAATATTTGCATTATTTTTAAAAAAAAAACATTTTTTGTCCCCCTCCCTGCTTGTTGCCTGGCCAAGGAGGGGGGACAAAAAAACATTTTAAAAAAAATAATGCAAATATTAAAATAATATTTTTACATAATTAAGTAATTTCATTAATTACATTATGAGGGACGTGCCTGACAACTCAGGCACAGAGTCCAGAGAATTTGGTTCGCAAGCCCTATATTGAACCCTGTAACTTTCCAGGACACTATAAAACCTGTACATGGGGGTACTCTTTTACTCGAGAGACTTCACTGAACACAAATATTAGTGTTTCAAAACAGTAAAACATACAACGATGATATCGTCAGTGAAAGTGCGTTTTTTTTGCATGTTTTTACACACAAACGGTACTTTCACTGACGATATAATTGCTGTGATATGTTTTGAAAGACTAATATTCGTGTTCAGCGAAGTCTCCCGAGTATAACCATGTACCATGTACAGGTTTTTTGGTGTTTTCAAAAGTTACAGAGTCAAATATAAGGCTTGCATTTCCTTTTTTTCACATTGAAATTTGCCAAATTGTTTATGTTGCATTTGAGAGCGTATAGTAGCCCAGGAATGGCATACTATTTGCAAAAGTAGACAAGGTATTGCAAATGGGGTATGTCCAGTCTTTTTTAGTAGCCACTTAGTCACAAACACTGGCCAAAATTAGCATTCAAATTAGCTTTTTGCATTTTTCACACACAAACAAATATGAACACTAACTTTGGCCAGTGTTTGTGACTAAGTGGCAACTAAAAAAGACTGGGCATACCCCATTTGTAATATCTCGGGTTGTCTACTTTTGCAAATGGTATGCTATCATCGAGGTAATTTTCATTACTGGGCTACCATACGGTCTGAAAGGCAACATGACCAGTCTGGCAAATTTCAAGGTGCATAAACTGAAATATGTAACGTGCTATATTTGACCCTGTAACTTTCCAAAACACCATAAAACCTGTACATTGGGGGTACTTTTGTACTCGGAAGACATCACTGAATACAAATATGTGTACTCTATTTTGGTAACAGATAACAGTATAATGACATGAACAGTTAAAATGTCATGCAGAACTAAAAAAAATAAAAAAATAATAATTTAAATTTCTCAAGTTTGTATGTTTAATATATAAATATTTGATGTGAAACGAAAGTCCTGTTTCTCCTGAACAAAATGATATATAAGTAGTGTGGGTGCACTTAAAGGAAAACTATAGGGTCAGGAACACAAACATGCATTCCTGACCCTATAGTGTTAAACCCACCATTTAGGTGGCTCACCCCCCCCTCCCCAGCCCCCTTAAAAGGAATTAAAACTCACCTTATTTCCAGCACTACGCGGGTCCGCCGGGGGGTGGCCCTGCCCCCGATCCGCCTCCTTGATGACATCCCATAGGAAAAGCATTGGATTGGCTAAAATCAGCAAGGAGGTGGGATGGGGGCGGGGCCAAACACTGTTTTGGTCAATCAGCACTTCTTCATAGAGATGCATTGAATCAGCGTCCTCATGCAGAGCGTGGAGACGCTGAATAGCACTGCTGCCTACTTTGCAGCACTGCCCCAGGAAGCATCTCCAGTGGCTATCTGAGGAGTGGCCACTTGGAGGTGTCCCTAAGGGCAATGTAAACACTGCCTTTCCTCTGAAAAGGCGGTGTTTGCATGAAAATGCCTGAAGGCAATGATTATACTCACCAGAACAACTACATTAAGCTGTAGTTGTTCTGGTGACTATAGTGTCCCTTTAATATGAAAGAGGTGAATTATGGTTGAACAACATGTAGCACAAATTCCAGGTTTTGTTTACATTTTGTTTTGATCTAAACTTGTATAACTGCCTCTGTCCATAAGGGGTTAAAGGTGAGTGAAGCGTTATTGTCCTATGTCGAATGTTTCTAGTATTTTCTTCAATAAATGTCTCTATTTTTCATACTACACACATGGATACTTTACGGATAGACCTCGTATAAGTCTGAAGTATTTGGATTTTACATTCAGTAATCTTATGTAACGTGTTATGAGGCTATACTACACTGCTCAATGTGTTGGACTTTACAAGTCACAAAACACGTATGCCATTTGGACAGTGAATTGCACGATAGTGTCATGACTAATATAGATCATTTAATTCTGAACGAAAATAAAGAATACAGCCATAGGCTATACATATCTAGGCTGGTTAGTCATGAAAGCAAATATGAAAACCCAGTATAAGGAAGGACAGATGTAAGAAATTGCTCCCAGCTGAAATTAATCAGATCTTTTTATGCAGCACTGGGCAAAGCAGAAAATACACAATGTACACTAATCAGTTACAACATTAAAACCACCTGCCTAATATCGTGGAGTTCACCCTCAAGCTGACAAAACCGCTCGGATGCGTCAAGGCATGGACTCCACTAGACCTCTAAATGTGTCCTGTGGTATCTGACACCAAGGCATTAACAGCAGAACCTTTAAGTCCTGCAAGTCGTGATGTGGGGCCTCCATTGGTCGGATTTGTTGTTTCATCAAATCCCACAGATGCTCAATTGGATTGAGATCTGGAGAAGGCTAAGGCAACACCTTGAACTCTTTGTCATGTTCCTCAAACCATTCCTGTATGATTTCTGCCGTGTGGCAGGGTGCATTATCCTGCTGAAAGAGGCCACTGCCATCAGTGAACACCATTGCCATGAAGGTGTGTATGTGGTCTTCAAAACTCTCTAGGTAGGTGGTACATGTCAAAGTAAAATCAGAATGAATGCCAGGGCCCAAGGTTTCCAAGCAGAACATTGCCCAGAGCATTAGACTGCCTCCACTGGCCTGCCTTCTTCCCATAATGCATTCTGTTGCCATCTCTTTCCAGATAAACAACACACAGATCACAGGCCATCTACTGGACCTAAATGAAAATGTGATTCATCAGATCAGGCAACCTTCTTCAATTGGTCCATGGTCCAGTTCTGATGCTCAAGTCCCCTGAAGGAGCTTTTGGCACATGGGTACTATGACCGGGCTGCGGCAAAGCCTGATATTCAGCAAACTGCAGTGCACTATGCGTTCTGACACCTTTCTATTATGGTGATCATTATGTTTTCAGCAATATCAACTACAGTAGCTCTTCTGTGCATCAATGAGCCTTGGGTGCCCATGACCCTGATGTCGTTGTCCTTCCTTGCATCCCTTATGGTATGTATTAACCACTGCATACCAAGAACAACCCACAACACTTTCCTTCAGATCATTTCGTTTGCTCATTTTTTCTGCTTCCAACAAATGAAATTCAAGAACGGACAGTTCACTCCTTGACCGGTGCCATTGTAACAATACAATCAATGTTAATCACTTCACCTGTCAGTGGTTTTAATGTTGTGACTGATTAGTGTATATGTTTGAAGAGGAATGTTTGTTTTACTATTAAAAATTGGATTCACTACAGAGTTTAATAGTCTCTTCACTAAACTTTCTATACAGACAATATGTGAAACAACAAAAATCAGAAGCATGTGATTGATGACTGATATGGCCAGCTGTGAAATGAACAGATAATTTTTAATATTCACATTTTAGAGCAATTCTGTCTTGATGCTTGGGGGGTACAATTTTTTAATCTACCTCAGCATAAAAAGTTAACCTATGAGTGGTTTTATTGTGGTAAACTGTAAGCTTATTTTAGAGTACTCACAACCTTCAAGTTCCTTTTTGACTCATTTGTTTGGCTGATCTTTTTTGCTGATCCTTGTTTGTGAGTCCATTTATTTTGGTGGTGTTTTATGAATAACAATAATAATACTAATATATGTATATATATATACATAAGCTTGCAGTGGTTGCCAGTGACTTGCACACTTTCACCACTAGATGGCTCTACTGTCTTTAGGCTGATGAAGCCTGAGTTTGGTACTGAGTTTTTAAAGAGTTTCCAGAACACAATCATTGGGGGAATATGTATAAAATGAGACATGTTCTGAAAAGTGTTCTATAGCACTAAAAGTGAGGTACTGGTGATTCCATTCATTTTCCATGTTTACACCACTTTTCAGAATGGACACATTTTATACATAACCCCCCATGTTTTTACAGACACAGAGTACAATGGTTTTCTGCTCCAGCAAAAAAGTCAAGCCTGTAGTTAATGTCAGCCAGTGATGTAATTTGGTACCACTTACTCTCTGTAAATCTGGGCTGCTCTCCTCCTCCTCTTGGGTACCATCAGGATCTTCTGCAGAAACCAGACACTGCCACACCACAGCCTCCTTTTCATATTCCCGCCTATAAAGGTTTGTTCGCTCAGACAAACTGGCACGACGTACAACCTTCCTGTGAGAGGAAGAGATAAAATAGAATGTTAAAGATAACATTAGTAGGGTTGCCACCTTTTTGGGAAAAAAATACCAGCCATGCTAATTTGCATAATTAGATATATATGCGTGCCATCACAAGACAAAACATCACCTGATGATGCATAACATCTCTGGGAGTGGCACAAGAGAATAAAAACACATTTGGAAACGGAAAATACCTTAAATCACTAATAAGCTACTTACAATGTGTCTGACTGCGCGTGTGTGTATGTATGTATACTGTCAGAATGAGTGTGTGTCATTGTCCAAGTGTGTGTCTGTCATTTTTGTACACTTTGTCTAAGTGTATGTATAACAGTGTGTGCGTACTGTGTATGAATGTGTGGGGCAGTGCGTGTCACTATGTGTCTACATCATTGTTTGCATATGTGTTTACCTAGAGGTGGATATTCTGGCTTCACTTCTCTTACCACACTCCCAGAGTCTGGTCAGAGAAAAATACCGGCCATTACATAGCCGGTATTTTTGCAATACCAGAACCGGACAGACAGCCTCAAATAATGCCTATGCTGGTAAAATACTGGGCAGGTGGCATGAGAGATAGAAAGAGACTGCATAGGTAGTGTTAAAAGTCAAGAAACAAATAAAGGTTCAATGAATGACAGAGAGACACCTCTGTCTCCATGTCCACTGTTTGTTTGTTTTTTGTTCCAAGTTGTACTTTAACAAGCACTAGCTACTAGGCCTTAAAGTGAATTAAAATAAAATAAAGGAAGAACACATAAAACATGTCCTACCAAGCTAAAATAAATAATGGTTACATCGATTCTATTAATTTAATTGTATGTAAAGCTTAGAAGCTGATTTGGAAGCAGTACAGGCCATATATCTGCATCTGTATGCCGGTGTCAATGACATGAACCTGTTCTTGATCTCATTTACATGTAATGCCATCAATGCAATCTAATGTGACTTTATTACTTACCCATGACTCCCAGTGCTAGAGCTCCTCCGACTCAAAGAAGACTTGTTTTTCTGCTGGGACTTCATAATGAGGTCATGTTTGTGCTTCAGTTCCAGGAGCAGAGAGCGGAGCTCCTCATCTTCACAGAGATCTTATTAGAATCAGGCAGGTGCAGAAAGAGAGAAACAAGGAACAGAACAATGAGGTGCACTGTACAGCATAGTACTAAGAGCTTACACTCCTACATAAAAAAGTCTCATTCCCACAGCATGATATAGAAAACAACATAACTGCCAGTGTTTAGAGGATGATGATTGTCTCAGCAAATAATTAATAATATAAAAATGTCAGTAACTGGAGAGAGGTTGAAGTGAATGAAGAAAGCTGATATAAGAGAAATATGTGGTTTGAATGTACATCATGAATGCTCATTGTTGTAAAATTATATTACAAAATAAACAAAATAGAGGACTCACCTAGTGGAGTTTCCTCCAGGGAAGTTTTGCTGCTCAGACTGGCACCGTGAGACACCAGGATCTCTGCCACATAAATCTATAATAGACAATAAAAGACGCATTTATTAATGTCACACAAGCTAGGCTCTACTACCTGTAAAAATATTAAATTATTTTTTTTTTTTAAATAAACCGTATCGTCTAATCAGGAGTGGAAGGGAACCTTCAACACTTCTAGATGTTGTGGACTACATCTTCGCTGATGCTTTGCCAGCATTATAGCTGTAGAAGCATTATGGAAGATGTAGTCCACAACATCAGGAGTGCCGAAGGTTGCCTACCCTGGAATGCGGCAAATTGAGCAGATGCACCTCTTACCTGTCCCCAAAAGGCTGCAGCGTGTAGAGGTTCCCAGCTGTCTGAATCTTTCACATCAACCTGTGCCCCATTTTCAAGCAGGGTTTCTGCCACTTCAGCATACCCCCGAGATGCAGCTATATGGAGCTGGAAATACAATAGGGCAGTGGTAATGTCACTTTATTAATATCAGAGTAAAAGGAACCAAGTAAGGTCCACATCAGATGCTAGGGAACCAGGGCAAGCGGACACACGTAGGCTACAAACCATTTCTGGACACAAAGTGAGAAACTGGACCTGCTTGACTGGCACGACAACAGCAGACGCAATGAGAGGGGCTACATACCTGGGAACAATGGATGAATAAGAGAACATCATCTACACAAGAGGTAGGCAACCTTTGGCATTCCAGATGTTGTGGACTGCATCTTCCCTAATGCGTGCCAGCATTATGTGTGAGAGCACTATGGGATATGAAGTCCACAACAACTGGAGGATGGAAGGGTGTCTACTGATGATCTGCACTAAAACCAAAACAGCTAGTTACACAATGGTTCAACATAGTCAATCAGATCACAAGTTCACAACAGAAGTCAGATGGACAAGATCATGCAAAAACAAGCATATATATCTGTTCATAACTCAATTCCTTTATGTGATAAATACGTTAGATTCAACAGATAGCACCACAGGTAGTGCCGCCAAGTAGCTCCACATCCTCAGGCACTGAAAACGAATGCGGACAAACGCATTTCAACTGCGTGGGCTGGGTGCCTCGGGGGCGCTGATGGTTGGAAATTAACACTCACACCACGGGGCTACATGACGCCCCATGCAACGGACTCGCGGTGAACATAAGATCGGGTCCCGAAGAAGTATTGGGCCTCCTTTCACCCATACTCTGTCGGAAGATATACCCTGATCGAGGTCGAAGTTGCTTACGAGATTGTACATAATTCCCTGTCACTACTGAATCACATTGTGTCTACCCCTCTGCCCCACCACTAACCAGACTATACCCTTCTACCTCTACCCCCCCAAACGCATTGCAAGTCACCCAACACCCGATGGTATGGGAAGCGCACAAATGTGCAATAAGGGGCTACTATATATCAGCGAAAGAAAGACATAACAAATCACTGACCTGGTCAAATCTTAAAGGGACTCTCCAGTGCCAGGAAAACATATCCGTTTTCCTGGCACTGCAGGACCCTACAGTGCCCCTATCCCCTAGCGTCACCCATAAGCTCACACTAGCGGAGGCTGTGGAGGTTGAGCAACCCCTGACCCTCGAGGAACTTCGCGTGGCCCTTAAGAACTCCAAAGCACCCGCTGTCCCGCTGTCGTAGCCTCTTTGCATTTTCCAGGAAGTTCTACTCTCAAGATAAGTGCAAGGACTAAACTCCCTCCGATCGGACGGGTGATTCCCCACAGACACGCTGGCAGCGATAGTGACTGTTCTTCCCAAAGAGGGAAAGGACACAATGACATTCTCAAGCTATCGGCCCATATCCCTCCTGAACGCAGACCTCAAATTATTTGCAAAAGCCATTGCAATGCAGTTGTCCAGGGCGATCCCGTGCCTGGTTCACTCGGACCAGATCGGGTTCGTTCCAAGTAGAGAAGCGAGAGACAACACGATCAGAGGCCTTAATATAATCCAGTCTATCTGGTCCACAGGGAGGGAAATGCTACTCAGAAAAAGCCTCCAACTGGGTAGACTGGACATACCTTGCTGCAATGCTGCAACACATGGGCATTGGCCCCCACTTTCGAATGTGAGTGGCCTCGCAATATACGACACCAACGGCAAGAGTAAGGGTAAACTGAGTCCTCGCAGCACCATTCCCCATACAAAATGGCACTTGCCAGGGCTGCCCCCTGTGCCCCCTCCTGTTTGCCCTCTCTCTAGAACCATTTTTGGAGGCGGCCAGACAGGGCGGGGCAATCACCGGGCTCCGTGCCGGACGGGGGAAGCACTGGGTAGCGGCTTATGCCGATGATATGCTGTTCTTTCTGGAGAACCCACTGGTCTTGCTCCACAACCTCCTAAAACTCTTTGAATGGTACGGTCAGATGTCTAACCTGAAACTGAACTTAGATAAGTCGGAAGCCCTGGCCATCATCACTCTCCCACGGAACGTGGAAGATCATCTGCGAACACAATTCAATTTTTGCTTCTTTGCGTCAAGTCTTTAGGTAGCTAAGTGCCCAAGTAACGAATTCCATGATCAGTTACTTGGGCACATAGCTACCTAAAGATTTGACACAAACATATTCTGTGAACTTCCTCTCCATCCTGAACATGCAGAAAACCGACCTGCAGAGATGGATGGGCCTATACATTTCATGGTTTGGCTGCATTAATGTGGTCAAGATGAATAACGTACCGTGACTCTTCTATTTCTTCCAGGCCTTACCAGTGGTAATTCCTTGGGCCTTTTTCCAATTAATAACAACTGCAGTCCGGAACTTTGTGTGGAATGGTAGAGCTACTCGAATACGCCAAACTCAGTTGATGCACCCGAAACACTCAGGCCTCCCCTCTGTAAACATGTACTACCAAGCAGTACACTTGCAACGAATCATAGATTGGCATGTCCGAATACCGACTAAACTCTGGGTCCCCACGGAGACCCAATATGCGGGAGACGCTATACCAGCGAAATTATGGCTTGGTGGGACAACACTAGTGCAGCTGCGAACAGGAAAACCGATGATTGACGCAACGCTCTGGGTGTGGTGCACGGTTAGATACGTGAGGCAATTGACAACGACCCTGTAGCGGAGATCTAGTATTCCACAAGTTATCTCCGCTTAAGATCCCAGTGAGGCTCCGGAACAAGTAGTTATAAATCCATAAGGCAAGGTTTCCAGCAGGTTAAATAATATAGCAATATCCCAACAGCGATCCCAATGACTGGACGACACACAGCATCAGGAGCAGAACTAAGCAAGGGAGGGATTTACAGTAATTGCTAAAGTGTCCAATCATACTCGAGTAACCTCCCACACATCTCCTCGCCTTAGCCTGACTCATAATCCCCTTCAGGGCCGGACTGGGGATACAAAGCAGCCCTGGAAAAAAAAATTGTGCCAGCCCCATAAGTCACTGCACCATATATTGTCGCGTGTAATATGTAAGGCTACATCTTGCCATGACAGATGATTGAGTAATATATATATATATATATATATATATATATATAATATATATATATATATATATTGCTTTTTCTAATATAAAATATTGGTCCTTTCAGGGCAAAACGTTTAATTATACAGTAAGCATACTCACATGCAGACACAGGCAATTTCACTGACATCTCAATGACACACACAAGCTCATTGATACACAGCTTCATAGACAAACAATCTCACTGATATACATCAGCTCATTGACATAAAAACACAAGCTCAATCACTAGCAGGCACACGCATGCAAGCAAGCTCACTCACTAGCAGACACACACACATACAGCTTAATGTAGTGGTACTGGTCCCTACAGGCTTTTCAACGTAAACACTGACTTTTCAGAGAAAAGGCAGTGTTAACATTGCTTCAAAAATACGCGAAATCACGGTTGCAGATCTCCCTCACCAACAACTTCACATGCTTCTGCACCACACAGACAGCACAGTGGCGACATACAAAAAAAAAAAAAAAATCACTCACAATGCACTTACTCACAGCAGCGAAGTTCCTGGTCCCTGGCCTCTGGAAGCACCCGGGTGCGCTGACATTTCAGCAATGGGTGACCAAAGATGAGGAGATACACGCCATTGAAAGTATGAAAGTATAACTGCAGACCTTAAATGTAACTCCGACAAACGTGCCCTGAAATGGTACCCCTGGACCGACTTCACCCATAGGGAGGTAATGCACTAACATCAAGACATAATCCCCCGGCAACACACAGGGAAAGACGACAGCCCCAACAAGACACTGGAAGGGAGCATACCACGACACTAGAGAGGTGACACTCACAAGCTCTGACCGACAGACAGACAGACCTGATGTTGTTAACCGGGACAATGCAGTGGTGGCAGTAAATAGATGGAACTACAACTTGCATTCCCCCATCCCCCCTTTTTTTCTCTCTTTCTGCTTCTCTCGTTATCTCCTTCTTCACTCTTCCTTCTCTACTTCCCCTGGAGTCAATAACCTCACCTAATTCACCCAATCCCTACCCCTATACTGCTGGTACAACAGCGCTGAGGCACCTCCAGCCAACACAAAAGGAGATAGCACACAAAGGCTGAACCCACTAAACTACTTAACACAGGAGTGAGGACTTAAGTATAGGAAGTGGATATGTTAAGCTACTGGTTAACTTAATAACTGTATGTAAAATGCTTCTATTTCAATATTTCAAGTTGTACAACAGGGTCTTGTCAACAATAATGAAAAGTAAAAATTTTTTTTTTTAAATAAAATACTTTAGTGAATTAATGTTAAACTGTAATAATGCAATGCAAAAAATGAACACCTGGCTGCTATGTTGTTTAACTGCATAATTTTAATAAATCCAATTCCTAATATGCTGAAGACACAGTTGAAAACATGCTGGACATGCTTAACTTTCCATGGTGCGTTATGGATTAAAACAATGGAAACATAGCAAAATCCAACAGTGTATTTTAATGGTAAATACATACAACTAAGGAATAGAATCAAAAGGAAAAACTATTAAAGAGATACTCCACACACCTAAAGCACTTTAACTTACGGAACTGTCCTCTTTTGCATTCAGATTTCAATTGAACTTTTATAAATAAACATTGTTACAACCCCCTGGTCAATGAGACAACTAGTCCTGTTGCTTACTAGTTAGGTTAGCTCAGTTGAGCTATACTCAGGTCTCAGCAATAATAGCTAGGTATAGTGTGTGACAGTGCCCATCACTAGTATCTAGGTATAGTGTGTGACAGTGCCCATCAATAGTATCTAGGTATAGTGTGTGACAGTGCCCATCAATAGTATCTAGATATAGTGTGTGACAGTGCCCATCAATAGTATCTAGGTGTAGTATGTGACAGTGCCCATCAATACTATCTAGGTATAGTGTGTGACAGTGCCCATCAATAGTATCTAGATATAGTGTGTGATAGTGCCCATCAATAGTATCTAGGTGTAGTATGTGACAGTGCCCATTAATAGTATCTAGGTGTAGTATGTGACAGTGTCCATCAATAGTATCTAGGTATAGTATGTGACAGTGCCCATCAATAGTATCTAGATATAGTGTGTGACAGTGCCCATCAATAGTATCTAGGTGTAGTATGTGACAGTGCCCATCAATAGTATCTAGGTGTAGTATGTGACAGTGTCCATCAATAGTATCTAGGTATAGTATGTGACAGTGCCCATCAATAGTATCTAGGTGTAGTATGTGACAGTGTCCATCAATAGTATCTAGGTATAGTATGTGACAGTGCCCATCAATAGTATCTAGGTATAGTGCGTGACAGTGCCCATCAATAGTATCTAGATATAGTGTGTGACAGTGCCCATCAATAGTATCTAGGTGTAGTATGTGACAGTGCCCATCAATAGTATCTAGGTGTAGTATGTGACAGTGTCCATCAATAGTATCTAGGTATAGTATGTGACAGTGCCCATCAATAGTATCTAGATATAGTGTGTGACAGTGCCCATCAATAGTATCTAGGTATAGTATGTGACAGTGCCCATCAATAGTATCTAGGTGTAGTATGTGACAGTGCCCATCAATAGTATCTAGGTGTAGTATGTGACAGTGCCCATCAATAGTATCTAGGTATAGTATGTGACAGTGCCCATCAATAGTATCTAGATATAGTGTGTGACAGTGCCCATCAATAGTATCTAGGTATAGTATGTGACAGTGCCCATCAATAGTATCTAGGTGTAGTATGTGACAGTGTCCATCAATAGTATCTAGGTATAGTATGTGACAGTGCCCATCAATAGTATCTAGGTGTAGTATGTGACAGTGTCCATCAATAGTATCTAGATATAGTGTGTGACAGTGCCCATCAATAGTATCTAGGTATAGTATGTGACAGTGCCCATCAATAGTATCTAGGTGTAGTATGTGACAGTGTCCATCAATAGTATCTAGGTGTAGTATGTGACAGTGCCCATCAATAGTATCTAGGTATAGTATGTGACAGTGCCCATCAATAGTATCTAGATATAGTGTGTGACAGTGCCCATCAATAGTATCTAGGTGTAGTATGTGACAGTGCCCATCAATAGTATCTAGGTGTAGTATGTGACAGTGTCCATCAATAGTATCTAGGTATAGTATGTGACAGTGCCCATCAATAGTATCTAGGTGTAGTATGTGACAGTGTCCATCAATAGTATCTAGGTGTAGTATGTGACAGTGCCATCAATAGTATCTAGATGTAGTATGTGACAGTGCCCATCAATAGTATCTAGGTATAGTGCGTGACAGTGTCATCAATAGTATCTAGGTGTAGTATGTGACAGTGTCCATCAATAGTATCTAGGTATAGTGCGTGACAGTGCCCATCAATAGTATCTAGGTGTAGTACGTAACAGTGCCCATCAATAGTATCTAGGTGTAGTATGTGACAGTGCCCATCAATAGTATCTAGTTGTAGTATGTGACAGTGCCCATCAATAGTATCTAGGTATAGTATGTGACAGTGCCCATCAATAGTATCTAGGTGTAGTATGTGACAGTGTCCATCAATAGTATCTAGGTGTAGTATGTGACAGTGCCCATTGTTAGTATCTAGGTATAGTATGTGACAGTGCCCATCAATAGTATCTAGATATAGTGTGTGACAGTGCCCATCAATAGTATCTAGGTGTAGTATGTGACAGTGCCCATCAATAGTATCTAGGTGTAGTATGTGACAGTGTCCATCAATAGTATCTAGGTATAGTATGTGACAGTGCCCATCAATAGTATCTAGGTGTAGTATGTGACAGTGTCCATCAATAGTATCTAGATGTAGTATGTGACAGTGCCCATCAATAGTATCTAGGTATAGTGCGTGACAGTGTCATCAATAGTATCTAGGTATAGTGCGTGACAGTGTCATCAATAGTATCTAGGTGTAGTATGTGACAGTGTCCATCAATAGTATCTAGGTGTAGTATGTGACAGTGCCCATCAATAGTATCTAGGTGTAGTATGTGACAGTGTCCATCAATAGTATCTAGTTGTAGTATGTGACAGTGCCCATCAATAGTATCTAGGTATAGTGTGTGACAGTGCCCATCAATAGTATCTAAGTGTAGTATGTGACAGTGTCCATCAATAGTATCCAGGTGTAGTATGTGACAGTGCCCATCAATAGTATCTAGGTGTAGTATGTGACAGTGCCCATCAATAGTATCTAGGTGTAGTATGTGACAGTGTCCATCAATAGTATCTAGGTATAGTGCGTGACAGTGCCCATCAATAGTATTTAGGTGTAGTACGTAACAGTGCCCATCAATAGTATCTAGGTGTAGTATGTGACAGTGCCCATCAATAGTATCTAGTTGTAGTATGTGACAGTGCCCATCAATAGTATCTAGGTATAGTGTGTGACAGTGCCCATCAATAGTATCTAAGTGTAGTATGTGACAGTGTCCATCAATAGTGTCTAGGTATAGTGTGTGACAGTGCCCATCAATAGTATCTAGGTGTAGTATGTGACAGTGCCCATCAATAGTATCTAGGTATAGTGTGTGACAGTGCCCATCAATAGTATCTAGGTGTAGTATGTGACAGTGTCCATCAATAGTATCTAGGTGTAGTATGTGACAGTGCCATCAATAGTATCTAGGTGTAGTATGTGACAGTGCCATCAATAGTATCTAGGTGTAGTATGTGACAGTGCCCATCAACAGTATCTAGGTGTAGTATGTGACAGTTACCAACAATAGTATCTAGGTATAGTGTGTGACAGTGCCCATCAATAGTATCTAGGTGTAGTATGTGACAGTTACCAACAATAGTATCTAGGTGTAGTATGTGACAGTGCCCATCAATAGTATCTAGGTATAGTGTGTGACAGTGCCCATCAATAGTATCTAGGTGTAGTATGTGACAGTGTCCATCAATAGTATCTAGGTGTAGTATGTGACAGTGCCATCAATAGTATCTAGGTGTAGTATGTGACAGTGCCCATCAACAGTATCTAGGTGTAGTATGTGACAGTTACCAACAATAGTATCTAGGTATAGTGTGTGACAGTGCCCATCAATAGTATCTAGGTGTAGTATGTGACAGTTACCAACAATAGTATCTAGGTGTAGTATGTGACAGTGCCCATCAATAGTATCTAGGTGTAGTATGTGACAGTGCCCATCAATAGTATCTAAGTGTAGTATGTGACAGTGCCCATAAATAGTATCTAGGTATAGTGTGTGACAGTGCCCATCAATAGTATCTAGGTGTAGTATGTGACAGTGCCCATCAATAGTATCTAGGTATAGTGTGTGACAGTGCCCATCAATAGTATCCATCAATAGTATCTAGGTATAGTGTGTGACAGTGCCCATCAATAGTATCTAGGTGTAGTATGTGACAGTGCCCATCAATAGTATCTAGGTGTAGTATGTGACAGTGTCCATCAATAGTATCTAGTTGTAGTATGTGACAGTGCCCATCAATAGTATCTAGGTATAGTGTGTGACAGTGCCCATCAATAGTATCTAAGTGTAGTATGTGACAGTGTCCATCAATAGTATCTAGGTATAGTGTGTGACAGTGCCCATCAATAGTATCTAGGTGTAGTATGTGACAGTGCCCATCAATAGTATCTAGGTGTAGTATGTGACAGTGCCCATCAATAGTATCTAGGTATAGTGTGTGACAGTGCCCATCAATAGTATCTAGGTGTAGTATGTGACAGTGTCCATCAATAGTATCTAGGTATAGTATGTGACAGTGCCCATCAATAGTATCTAGGTGTAGTATGTGACAGTGTCCATCAATAGTATCTAGATGTAGTATGTGACAGTGCCCATCAATAGTATCTAGGTATAGTGCGTGACAGTGTCATCAATAGTATCTAGGTATAGTGCGTGACAGTGTCATCAATAGTATCTAGGTGTAGTATGTGACAGTGTCCATCAATAGTATCTAGGTGTAGTATGTGACAGTGCCCATCAATAGTATCTAGGTGTAGTATGTGACAGTGCCCATCAATAGTATCTAGGTGTAGTATGTGACAGTGCCCATCAATAGTATCTAGGTATAGTGTGTGACAGTGCCCATCAATAGTATCTAGGTGTAGTATGTGACAGTGCCATCAATAGTATCTAGGTGTAGTATGTGACAGTGCCCATCAATAGTATCTAGGTATAGTGCGTGACAGTGTCATCAATAGTATCTAGGTGTAGTATGTGACAGTGTCCATCAATAGTATCTAGGTATAGTGTGTGACAGTGCCCATCAATAGTATCTAGGTGTAGTATGTGACAGTGCCCATCAATAGTATCTAGGTGTAGTATGTGACAGTGTCCATCAATAGTATCTAGTTGTAGTATGTGACAGTGCCCATCAATAGTATCTAGGTATAGTGTGTGACAGTGCCCATCAATAGTATCTAAGTGTAGTATGTGACAGTGTCCATCAATAGTATCTAGGTATAGTGTGTGACAGTGCCCATCAATAGTATCTAGGTATAGTATGTGACAGTGTCCATCAATAGTATCTAGGTATAGTGTGTGACAGTGCCCATCAATAGTATCTAGGTGTAGTATGTGACAGTGCCCATCAATAGTATCTAGGTATAGTGTGTGACAGTGCCCATCAATAGTATCTAGGTGTAGTATGTGACAGTGTCCATCAATAGTATCTAGGTGTAGTATGTGACAGTGCCATCAATAGTATCTAGGTGTAGTATGTGACAGTGCCCATCAATAGTATCTAGGTGTAGTATGTGACAGTGTCCATCAATAGTATCTAGGTATAGTGCGTGACAGTGCCCATCAATAGTATCTAGGTGTAGTACGTAACAGTGCCCATCAATAGTATCTAGGTGTAGTATGTGACAGTGCCCATCAATAGTATCTAGGTATAGTGTGTGACAGTGCCCATCAACAGTATCTAGGTGTAGTATGTGACAGTTACCAACAATAGTATCTAGGTATAGTGTGTGACAGTGCCCATCAATAGTATCTAGGTGTAGTATGTGACAGTTACCAACAATAGTATCTAGGTGTAGTATGTGACAGTGCCCATCAATAGTATCTAGGTATAGTGTGTGACAGTGCCCATCAATAGTATCTAGGTGTAGTATGTGACAGTGTCCATCAATAGTATCTAGGTATAGTGCGTGACAGTGCCCATCAATAGTATCTAGGTGTAGTATGTGACAGTTACCAACAATAGTATCTAGGTATAGTATGTGACAGTGCCCATCAATAGTATCTAGGTGTAGTATGTGACAGTGCCCATCAATAGTATCTAAGTGTAGTATGTGACAGTGCCCATCAATAGTATCTAGGTATAGTGTGTGACAGTGCCCATCAATAGTATCTAGGTGTAGTATGTGACAGTGCCCATCAATAGTATCTAGGTATAGTGTGTGACAGTGCCCATCAATAGTATCTAGGTGTAGTATGTGACAGTGCCCATCAATAGTATCTAGTTGTAGTATGTGACAGTGCCCATCAATAGTATCTAGGTATAGTGTGTGACAGTGCCCATCAATAGTATCTAAGTGTAGTATGTGACAGTGTCCATCAATAGTATCTAGGTATAGTGTGTGACAGTGCCCATCAATAGTATCTAGGTGTAGTATGTGACAGTGCCCATCAATAGTATCTAGGTGTAGTATGTGACAGTGCCCATCAATAGTATCTAGGTATAGTGTGTGACAGTGCCCATCAATAGTATCTAGGTGTAGTATGTGACAGTGTCCATCAATAGTATCTAGGTGTAGTATGTGACAGTGCCATCAATAGTATCTAGGTGTAGTATGTGACAGTGCCATCAATAGTATCTAGGTGTAGTATGTGACAGTGCCCATCAATAGTATCTAGGTGTAGTATGTGACAGTGCCCATCAATAGTATCTAGGTATAGTGTGTGACAGTGCCCATCAATAGTATCTAGGTGTAGTATGTGACAGTGCCATCAATAGTATCTAGGTGTAGTATGTGACAGTGCCATCAATAGTATCTAGGTGTAGTATGTGACAGTGCCCATCAATAGTATCTAGGTGTAGTATGTGACAGTGCCCATCAATAGTATCTAGGTATAGTGTGTGACAGTGCCCATCAATAGTATCTAGGTGTAGTATGTGACAGTGCCATCAATAGTATCTAGATGTAGTATGTGACAGTGCCCATCAATAGTATCTAGGTATAGTGCGTGACAGTGCCCATCAATAGTATCTAGGTGTAGTATGTGACAGTGTCCATCAATAGTATCTAGGTATAGTGTGTGACAGTGCCCATCAATAGTATCTAGGTGTAGTATGTGACAGTGCCCATCAATAGTATCTAGGTGTAGTATGTGACAGTGCCCATCAATAGTATCTAGGTATAGTGTGTGACAGTGCCCATCAATAGTATCTAGGTGTAGTATGTGACAGTGCCATCAATAGTATCTAGGTGTAGTATGTGACAGTGCCCATCAATAGTATCTAGGTATAGTGTGTGACAGTGCCCATCAATAGTATCTAGGTGTAGTGTGTGACAGTGCCATCAATACTATCTAGGTGTAGTATGTGACAGTGCCATCAATAGTATCTAGGTGTAGTATGTGACAGTGCCATCAATAGTATCTAGGTGTAGTATGTGACAGTGACATCAATAGTATCTAGGTGTAGTGTGTTACATAGGTACATGGCTAAAAAGTAACTTGCGTCCATCAAGTTCAGCCTTCCTCACATTTGTTTTTGCTGTTGATCCAAAAGAAGCCAAAAAACCCAGTTTGAAGTGCTTCTAATTTTGCAACAAACTGGGAAAAAATTCCTTCTTGACCCCAAAATAGCAGTCAGATATCTCCTTGGATCAAGCAGCTATTACCCCACTAATTAGAAATTATATCCCTGTATGTTATGTTTTTGCAAAGATTTATCCAATAGCAGTTTAAACATCTGTATGGACTCTGATAAAACCACCTCTTCAGGCAGAGAATTCCATATCCTTAAAAAAGCCATTCCTTTGCCTTAGATTAAATCTCCTTTCTTCCAGCCTAAATGCGTGACCTCGTGTCCTATGTATAGCCCTGTTTATGAATAGATTTCAGGATAATGGTTTGTATTGGCTGATGGGTTTACCGCCATTATACTTCTCTACACCCCTATATAAAAGGCATTTAGGTGAAGTACTACACACTCTTGGGCGGCTAGTACTACTACTGTTCTGTGGTAACACTATTTAATACAGATTATTTGTATATTTACATTTGTATTGTAATTGTGTAGCATTTATGTAGAGCATTGATTATGGTCTATTCAAAGGTCCAATTTAACTGCTTTTGGACCATATGCATTTTCCTTTGGCGTTTTTGTATTTTTATATTGATGAATTGATTAATAAAGTGATTTTGTATGTTTTTCAATTTTGATGTGCTATGGCTATTTGTCTTACTGACCACAAGGGGGAGGTGGCATTCTTCATATTGCACCAAATACTCATTACTTTGTACCAGGTTGAGTGATCCTATATATACTGATATTAATGTAGTGTGTGTCTGTGCCTGTCAATAATCGGTAGTTGTAGAGTGTGATAGTGCCTGGTGATTATACCTTGGTTTAACATGTCCAGAATGTGACTGTGTCTGGGTAGATGGGATGACAGTGCATGCCACTGATTAATGCAGAGCATAATGTGTTAACATGATATTTCTTGATATTAGCTGTGGGGAAATGTCACAGGCGGAGTGTGTTACATTACGTGCCCTTGTTAGTAGTTGTAGAGTGTGTGGGCTAACAGCTTCAAGTGGGCGTAATGTGTGACAGTGCATGTTCTTGATAATCACCAGATGCACTATGATGTGACTATGTAGGCCAATCGTTTTAGGTGGGAGCAGTGTGTGACAGTGCAGGGTAATGACTTTAGGTGGGTGTAATGTGTGACTGTGCATGTTCTTGAGATCACCAGATGCAATATGTGACTATGTAGGGCAATCGTTTTAGGTGGGTGCAGTGTGTGACAGTGCAGGGTAATGTCTTTAGGTGGTTGTAATGTGTGACTGTGCATGTTCTTGAGATCACTAGATGCAATGTATGTCTGTGTAGGCCAACAGCTTTAGGTGTGTGACAGTGCCTACCAGTGGTTGTAGATGGGTCACTGCCTGTCATTAACCATTGCTGCCACAGTCACAAAGCTCACCAAAGTGGCCCCTTGGCTATCTGTCCTGTTCAGATCCTTTGCAGCCGTTATCAGAGCTCTGACTTCATCCAGCATTTCATGTTCTGGGGCCTGTCGAGCATCATTAATCATTTCCTGTGTGAAACCTGTAAAAAAATTGATCAGAAGAATTACAACGTTTCTGTACTCTTCAGAGCCCACGACTACACCCAATGCCACCATCTTTAGTAAAAATAATATTAGTAAAGTGAGTTATTTATAAAGAAACATTCTAGGGAAGAAAAAGCATGAAGATTCCATTGATCACCGCGATGATTATCCTATTTTTAGAACTTTACTCCAGAAATTTTACTCATTATACATAAAATACTGTATCAATGTTTGATTTGCCTGCTCATGTTTACCTTTGTAGGTCATGCAGTTCTCAATAACATCCAGGGTGGCTTCATCTTCACAAAGATCATAGACCATGTTACCATCGGCGTTAACAGCGAGCAGATCTGCCCCACTGGATAGAGAGAGAGAAAGACAGGAAATCAAGTTTTTGAGCTCTGCAATGTGGCAATGTGTACTGCATCATATCTAAATAATTAGCTGTGTGGGCACATAGTTTCATCCTCCAAGTTCTTGGGATTTTGGTGGTCCTAGCCTCTAAAATCTTTTGTTATAATGCCTTATCTTTTGCATAGTTTGGTGGTTTGGTGTGTAAAATAACCACTTAGTGCATCCTTATTGTAGGCCTAGCCCTAATGCCTGTCCCATAATTTAACTAAGTAGGAAAACAGACTATTATTTTGGTGAAAGAAAGTCTTCTTCAGCCAATCCAACAACAATATGTTGTTTAATCTAATGACAAAGAGCACATCCAGAGGGACACGCTTTAGAGAACAATAACGCCTTTTTGACTCCATATGGTCCTTACTCATGGGTTATATTAGACAATATTTCATCATTCATTAAAGCTTGGTCATAACTGCTATCAACTCCGACTGAAGTAAACAGAGTTTGTAGAGAACCGTACAATGAAGAAGCGAGATTGTGTTAATATGCTAACTATATCATAATGCTCTTGAATACTTGCTGTTGTAGGCTGCACTCATCAAGTGATATTAAGTGATCCGGGCATCAAGAAATGATAGCAGTCACTACAGTAGCACACAATCACATTACTGGCTAACCATCAGGAAAACAACCCATCTTTAAACGGTTCTGCAAAATGTGCAATCCTTCCTTGGGCACTCCATCAGTGGTAAAATGCCACCCCAGATGCAGTGTCAAAGGTAGCAGTGTACATTTTGCCCATAGGCAGAGCCGTTTATAAGGTTAACTTATAAAAAAGCTACATTTGTAGATATTATTAAATGATGTCAATTGTATGAATCAATGTCAGGATATAGGTTTGGTGTGCATGTCATTGTATTAACAGTAACAAAATTAATGAAAGTAAAATTACAGTTGGAGCAGAAATTACGTCACAAGTAAGGGTTTATGGCATTAATGATGCTTAGCTTATTAAATCCACCAATTTAAAGGGGCATTTTAAGTGTTATAACCCATAAATGCTGTTGTAGTAGTTATGGTGCTAGTAAGCTGTGGTAGCCATCTGTCAGTTCTTGGCCAAATTGTGTTAATAGGATGGTTGATGGGCTCAGGCTATAACTGCCATGGTAACATGGAAGATGAACTTCCTAACTAGCAATCCTGTCAGCCAGGGCTCAGAAAAGTGAGAATTCAAAGTAAATTCACATTGAATGTCAAATTTGAAGTCATAATAGCCCAACTGGAAAAATTCTCCAAGTCAGCTATGCTTCTACTTTGACCTTAAATTTTCAATTCACTTGGGATTCTCACTTTAGTAAATAAAAATAAATATATTTCTTATTATATACTTACTGCTGAATCAGAATGCGCACCAGATTGGTGTGACCACATGTGGCAGCTGCGTGGAGAGGGGTCCACAGTTCATTGTCTGTGACATTAACATTAGCTCCACGTGACAACAACAACTTTAGGAGATCTTCGTAGTTATCGATGCAGCACTGGAGGACAAAAAGAGAGAACAAATGAAGACAATTATGGACCGCTTATGGACCACCTTGGATATAACAATAAAACAATATGTCTATAGAGTATTTCTGAGGCAAAACTTTAACTATACCAAAACAACTTTGGTATAGTCACCAAAACAACTTTACCTTAATTAAGCAGTTTAGGTATATAGATCATGGTCCTGCAGTCTCACTTCTCAATTCTCTGTCATTTAGGAGTAAAATTACTTTGTTTATACAGCCCTAGTCACACCTCTTTGCACGTGACTTACACAGCTTTCCTAAACACTTTCTGTAAAGAGTCATCTAATGTTTACACTTCCTTTATTGCAAATTCTGTTTAAATTAGAATTTCTTATCTCCTGCTTCCTAGTCCCTGCAGAAGCCTCCTGTATGTAATTAAAGTTCAATTTGCAGAACAGGAGATAAAAACTTTTAAAGTAAGTTACATCTGATTGAAAGTGAAAACAGCAGGAGAAGCTGTGGCTAGCACTGTATAAACAAAAACAAAAGTGATTTAACTCTTAAATGGCAGAGAATTGAGCACTGAAACTTTAGAGGCATGATCTATACACCATAACCGTTTCATTAAGCTAAAGTTGCTTTGGTGACTAATGTGGCCTTTTAAATAAGGTGCAATCACCATGCAAACATACAGAATGTTCCTGCTGACTGTTCCATATTAAGAACTTTACCCCAGAACAGCTTTTGATACATAACACTATGATCTTGGTTGTTGTGAGTTCGGATCACTTTCTATATTATCATAAACATCAGTTATCCTATACTTATTGCCATAGGCGTGCGCACGGGGTGTGCTGGGTGTGCCTGGGCACACCCTAATCCCCGTGGCACGCCAAGCATGAAGACCGGCAGGGGAGATCTCAGGATCGCTATCCGAGCGCCGGCTCTGCTCTCAGCCTCCCTCCCCACATGCAGGGAGGGAGGCAGGAGAGGACCGGCGGAGCTATTGGCGGCAGCTCTGCCGGGTTCCTCTCGCGAGATATGAGCGTTGCCACGGCAATGCTCAAATCTTGCGAGAGTGAACTCTAGCCCCACAGGGGGCTAGAGTTCACTCTCCACTGGACCACCAGGGATGGAATCAGCAGCACGATCCCCACTCCCTACAAAAGTTAAGAAGGGAGGGGGGATAGCAAGTAATGTCCACCCCCACAATCACCCACCCACATACAGCACACACATACATACACAGCACCAACACACATACAGCACACATACAGCACACACAGACATACAGCACCCACAGACATACAGCACCCACACACATACAGCACCCACACAGCACCCACACACATACAGCACCCACACAGCACCCACACACATACAGCACCCAGACAGCACCCACACAGCACCCACACACATACAGCACCCACACAGCACCCACACACATACAGCACCCACACACAGCACCCACACATACAGCACCCACACACATACAGCACCCAGACAGACATACAGCACCCACACACATACAGCACCCACACACATACAGCACCCACAGACATACACAGCACCCACACACATACAGCACCCAGAGACATACACAGCACCTACACACATACAGCACCCACACACATACACAGCACCAACACACATACAGCACCCACACACATACACAGAACCAACACACATACAGCACCCACAGACATACACAGCACCAACACACATACAGCACCCCACACACAGCACACAAACAGCACCCTCACACACACACAGCACACTAACAGTACCCTCACAAACACAAACAGGACCCTAATAAACACACACACAGCACACTACCAGTACCCTCACACACAAACAGCACCCTCACATACAGTACATTAACAGCACCCTCACAAGCGCGCACACACACACAAACAGCACCCTCACACACAGTACATTAACAGCATCCTCACAAGCACGCACACACAAACACCCTCACCCTCACACACACACAGCACACTAACAGTACCCTCACAAACACAAACAGGACCCTAATAAACACACACACAGCACACTACCAGTACCCTCACACACAAACAGCACCCTCACACACAGTACATTAACAGCACCCTCACAAGCGTGCACACACACACTACCAGCACTGTCACACACACATCACACTAACAGCACCCTCACACAGCACACACACACACACAGCAGTGTGTGTATGTGTGTGTATATATGTGTATGTATATATATATATATATATATATATATATATATATATATATACACACACATATATATATTTATACATACATATATATGCGGCGTGTGCTTGTGCTTTAGGGTGCACACCCTAATGCAATAGGCTGCGCACGCCTATGGCTTTATATACATACTACTAATATCCAGTATATAGGTGACTAAGGTCTTGATTTAATATGCTTTCCAAATGATTAAATACAGTTAAATAGATTTCTCTACAAATATTCCTATAGACGTTAATGGTGACATCTGTAGATAAATCATTTGGAAAGTTTTTTTAACAGTATTGAACCATTTGCACATTAAAAAGCCTAAATGCTTGAGAGATATGGAATGTACCTTACGAACTTTTATATCACCAAAAAAATGTACATTTTGTTTGTAAGGAACCAGACTTTACCGGCTGTTTCCAGGTAATTCTACGAGCTATTTTTGGCTAGAACTAGGAAAATCTTTCGCAAGAATGCTGAAGGATTGTATTGACACAGGCTAAAATATATGCACATTTATTGCATCACTGTGCTGTTATATTGCTGTAGTCCTCATAAACAAAAACACTTTGCAAATTACTAAAAAAAAGGATGTACAAACAGACACACAAAAGCAATACTGAGGAATACATAAGAATAACTCATTTCAGGATAGAATTGTCAAACTGGGGGAATAGCAGACTTGGAAGTTGAACATTTTTGGCCAAACAGACGAGCTGAAAAAAATTATCCATGCCAATTTGTGATTGCTACAATTTAGTTTTAAAAACAGTTTATAAATTAAAATATTACTATGTGAGTTTCAATGTGCATTTTAAAAAAGAAATAGATTGAAGCCCATACTTTTAAATTAAAATGTTTACAGACATAATATGTAATGATAGCCATTCTTGTATAAAATGGAATAACACTTTGACAAAGTGATCATCACTGTATTACAAATGACTATTCAATTAAATGATGCTATATTATATTTCTTGGGTCATACAGCTGAAAGCACAGAAATGTATTTGGGCAGTTTGGGTGACTATAGTGTTCTTTTAAGTTTAACATAGAAGAACTGGAAAAAAATTACTTACTACCTACTTTAGGTTTAAAGGGACGCTATCGGCACCCAGACCTCTTCAGCACATTGAAGTGGTCTGGGTGCAGCGTCCCAGCACCCTTAACCCTGTAAAGGTAATTATAGCTTTGTTCTTTTTATTAAAGGGACTTCGGGATTGTTAGGCAACTTTTGGTCACATGACGCTGGACATCCTCACGCTATCCAGCGTCAACAGAATCCCCATAGGAAACGCGTGCGCATTAAGCCTCCTCCCCGGCTGATGTCGGCAGGGGAGGAGAGAAGGCAGGCCCGAGCCAGTGCCGAGGGACATCGGCCCTAGAGCCAGGCAAGTGACAGAAGGGGTTTTTAACCCCTTCTGCACCAGTGAAGAAGGGGGGGGCTTGACCCAGGAAGAAGCGATAGTACCCGGAAAACAAGTTTGTTTTCCTGGCACTATAGCTTCCCTTTAAACCTGAAATTCATTACAAATTCACTTTGAATTCCCTACAATTTTCATAGTAAATAACCTTGTTAAAGTCAGAGTAGCCTCATCATTATCTGATAATAAAGTGGTATTAGGTGGCTCCTGATTTACGACGTCCCCTGTAGAATGAGGGATACATTTATAACACGCAATGTAATTTAACCAATAATTCTACAATGATTTACATAGTAACATAGTTACATAGGCTGAAAAGAGACATGTGTCCATCAAGTTCAGCCTTCCTCACATTTGTTTTTTGCTGTTGATCCAAATTTAAAGAACAAGAAATAGGCAACAATGCAAACAAGATGAATAAAACCTCCTATGGATAATTCCATGATATGGGGAAATGTTATCTTTAGCTAGGTGGCAAGGGAAGATTTAAAAATAATAATAATAATCATGCTTTATCTTCATAGTTTCTGCACAGACCTTTAAAGGGCAGTCTAGAAAAAAAAAAAACACATCCATAAAAATATCACAGGGCCTGTCAAAACGTCTATAAAAAAAAAGTGGCTTTCCCTTGTGAAAGTTTACGAGGCCATAAATTATCACCCAATCTGTTTGTAAATAAAATGAGGTTTAACATACGTTAATTGGTCATTTAGCAAGAAGGCAATATAAGATAAGAGACTCTGCTTAGGGGAAAGAAAGTTCTAATCTCAAAGTATTTTACCTGCAGTAAGTTCTATCAATTGTTAACAAATGTGACGTAATGGTGTCGCGCATGCATGGCTGCCTCAGTGTTCAGTGAAGGAGCAGGTTGACATAACGAGGTTTATTCATTTTACTGGGAATTTTGGATAACGAGGGAAATGCAAATTGGAGACATTGACATGATTGTGACTTTTTAGTTCATTTTTGGACTATAATTTGCAACTGACATGCCCTATTGTTTCCAGTTTAGTGAAAAAGTGAACCAGTCTGAAATGACTTGATCTTAAGTAGTTTGTAGTTAGTAGGCATGACCTTATAAGCCAGAAATAACCCATATTTGTTACATACAAAACCCCCTCTCCGTTTGGTGTCAAAACAAAAGGCTTACTTTTCTGTTGGTAAGCGATGGGGTAAGTAAAAGGCACCTTATTTTACAAGACTGTGCTAACAGAATTCTAAAACACAACCGCTTTAGTGATCTTAGCACTGCCGTGAACAAAACAGCAAGAAAATGGTGGAATCCAAGTGAAACAGTACTTGTTTGGAGATGAACTGAATGCCTCTTTTTCTAGTGTAAACTGTATAGTATATCTTTTAAAATAAACTTTTCCTTAACCCCTTAAGGACACATGACATGTATGACATGTCATGATTCCCTTTTATTCCAGAAGTTTGGTCCTTAAGGGGTTAAAGGGACATTCCAGACACCTAAAGAACTTTAGCTTGCTGACATACTTTGTGTGTGAAGAGTGTGATTTTTTTTTTTTTTTTTAACAAAAAGTGCAGTTTCAATAACAATTGACACTTTTATAAATGATCCTGGTTATCCTCCCTTGGCTTTCAAGTAGACAATAAGTCCTTTTACTTCCTTGTTTGGTTATCTCAGTGGCAGGGCCGCCATCAGAAATTGTGGGGCCCCTAACACAGCTCAAGGTTTGGGCCCCCGTGTGCCCGCCTCCAAATCCCGCCCACAGGAATACACACACACAGACACAAAAGGACACAGACACACACACAGAAAGATACACACATACTAACAGACACAAATACTGAAACAGACATACATATAGATACATACACAGATACACACACACACACACACACACTGACATATAGACACAAACACTGTTGTACATACATACTCACATAATGACACACATACATGCTGACAAACAGACATACATACAAACTGACATCCAGACATACATACACATACATACTGACATACATACACATACATACTGATATACATACATACATACACACACAGATATATACATACACAGATACACACAGACATACTGACATACACACACACACACACAGACATACATGCATACTGACATACATACTGATAGAGTGACATACACACACACATACATACTTGCAGACACACACACACTGACAAACAGACATACATACTGACATACACAAACACATACAGATAGACACATACACACATACATACTGACATACACACACAGACATACATGCATACTGACATACATACACACAGACATACACACTGACATACACACAGACACAGACATACTGACATACACACACAGACATACATACTGACATACACACAGACATACACACACACAGACATACATACTGACATACACACACACAGACATACTGACATACACACAGACAGACATACTGACATACATACTGACATACACACAGACATACACACACACACACACACACATACTGACATACACACAGACATACATACTGACATACACACACACAGACATACTGACATACACACAGACACACACACAGACATACATACTGACATACACACAGACATACATACCGACATACACACACACACAGACATACTGACATACATACTGACATATACACACACACACACAGACATACACACACACATACATACTGACATACACACACACACACATACTGACATACACACAGACATACATACTGACATACACACAGACATACATACTGACATACACACACAGACATACATACTGACATACACACTGACATACACACATACTTGCAGACACACACACACCTCATTTATCAGCCACCCTCCTCTTACCTTTAAGTTGCAGGAGGGTGGCTGGGGATGATGGGAGTGGATGCCTCTGGTGTCCCTGTCCTGTCCTCTCCTCCACTCTCCCTCTCCCCCCGCGCGGAGTAAGCTGGGAGGAAGTGACCGGCCGTCACTTCCTTCCAGCAGCACTTGCGGTGTTTAGCCGCAATTTTTTTTTTTTAAAGGGGCCAGGCTGCGCAATTACCCAGCCCAGCGCTGACCGGGCCCCTGAAGATATAGGGCCCATCGGGTGGCCCTAAATGCTTGGGCCACCTGATGGGCCCCGGTGCAGATGCCCCTGATGGCTGCCCTGCTCAGTGGAGCTAAACTCAAGAGACAGCAAATACCCAGACCACCTGCCTTGTAACAACTTCTCATTAAGCTACACTGGGAAGCCTGTGATTGGACAGTCATATAAAGTCTTGGCGGGGTCAGAAGGGGAGGGCTTGCAAAGGCAGCAGTAAGAGATCTACAAGTTTTGCAAGCTAATGTGTTAAATATACCCCATTGAAAAATGCATAATTAAATGCATGTATGTTTTCATTTGGGGTATATCTACTAAACAGTGATTGTTATTTATTTTGTATTTGGGCAGTGGAATGTAATTTTAACAGTTTCAAAGCAGCACTGGAAACTGGGATTAGACGGGATGTTGCAAAGAGCTTAGAGGGAACACTGCATAACTAGAAAGAACATTGTACGCATCTTTAGAATGAGCACTTTAGATAGCTTAAAGGAGCACTATAGTGCCAGGTAAACAAACCTGTTTTCCTGGCACTATAGGATAATTAGGTGTCCCCCTCCCTCGTGGCCCCCTTCCTGCTGGGCTGAAGGGGTTAAAACCCCTTCAGCCACTTACCTTAATCCAGTGCCAGGTTCCCTTGGAACTGGTGACCTTTCCTCCCACTGCCGACGGCAGCTCCCGAGTGGAGTCGAATGCGCATGTGCGACCAGAGCCGTGCGCGCATTCAAACTGCCCACAGGAAAGCATTTGGAGGATATTGCACATGACTGGTAAAACACCACACTGGGCAAATCAGCATCTCCTCATAGAGATGCTTTGAATCAATGGATCTCTGCGGGGAAAGTTTAGTGTCTTCTTGCAAAGTGCAGCACTGACCCAGAAAGCACCTCTAGTGGCAACTGGAGGTGCCCCTAAGCACTAATGCAAACACTGCTTTTTCTCTGAAAAGGCAGCATTTACATTGAAAAGTTTGCAGGGACAGGCTATAGGCACCAGAACTACTACATTAAGCTGTAGTTGTTCTGGTGACTATTGGGTCCCTTTAACCCCTTAAGGACATATGACATGTCATGATTCCCTTTTATTCCAGAAGTTTGGTCCTTAAGGGGTTAATCTTATCAAAGAGTACAGGTCAGATCTGAAAACACAGCTATACAAAGACAGTATACCAGAAGGTACATTCTATGAAGGTAATGGTTAGTTATGAACAGATTTAGATGATGGACAGATAAATGGCCTATCTGCCCATTTTATTGCCTACTTAAATACTTCTATATATGAGCTGTATTTATGCATCATGCCTTCTCCCACTTCTTTACCTTTGGACGTAATACATGAAAATGCATGACTTTTTTCTTTTCACAGTCATCTAGAAAGGCAAGTGTTTTGTTATCTGTTACCCACTCCAGAGGCTGTCGCCCCCACAGCTGCAATTGCTTTAGTGAGGAAGGCAGAGGATTAGACAGACAGTGGGTAGCACACAATGCTTGTCTTCATACAGAAAGCCATGTGAGGAGGCAAGGAATGCGTTAGCTGGGAATTTTCTAAGCGAAAAGCCTGCGAAAGGCTCAATGTTAACCCACTTTTAGCCAAAGGATTAGAAATATATTCCGCAGAGAGCTGTACTCTGACTCATTGGAAGTAAACGGCCAACTGCTATGCCCCACTGACAGACAATGTTACTTCGACGGTGAACAGAAACAGTTTAGAACGGCATAATCTCATTTAAAATTTTATAGCAATCTGTACAAGATGGTATGATAAAATTCAGATTAGGGAACAGCAGTCACACAAATACAATGCATAGTTTTAAATTTGACAAGGCTACGTAAAAATACCTATCTTAGCAAGCAGATATGGTGATTTGGTTCCACCATATGGCCATATTGTGTTAAGCCCACCACTAGATCACAGTACCCCAATACTGGTGGGTCCTACACTAATTTTAACATGGGAGATTAACATGCTAACTGCAATACTTACTGCTTAAATGGCCTGTATATTGTTTTTGTGTGTGCTGTTCCCTAATCTGTATTTTGAATATATTTTGATATTTATGGTAGTACCACTACTGAGAAAAGCATGTTCCCGTTGTGTCCCGAAATCCCCCCTCTTTTTTTTTTGATGGTAATGCATATATCAGGCCAACACTGTTCTGTCAGTGCAGAAATCAGGCCAGCCCTGTTCTCTGTTCAGTAACAGTATGGTTACCACTGAAACAACATGAAAGTATGATACATACTTGTTAGGAGCCCTCAAGCATGTTCTTTAAATATTTTGGCTTACTCACATCTGTGTGGTAGGTTTTTGAAAAGAAAAAGTGTTAAAGAATCTTTTTTTTTTCTACAATACAGTGCTAAAGAATTCATCAGTGTATTACATAGCCTAATACTGTATTATATATAAATGTTATGTTACAATCAGAGTTGCTCTTATGCCGTATTTTAGGAGAGAGCCCCAGCAACGTAATGGTTAACACTGCAGTTTGTATTGACTACCCGGTTGTTGCTATGCAAACGGCTGTCATGGTTATACAATTTTCAACTGTTTCAGAGCTGAGCAGCTTGCAAACAATTGCTTAAAGGGGCAACGTTACTTCTCGTGATTTTTAATGATGTTTACTTAATTACTATATTTAACAAATATTTGTTTGGAAATTCTGGGGGGGGGAAAGAGAGCTATCTTTAAATGATTGCCTCCACATTATCTTGCTGTCAGCCAATGTTATAAGCAATGTCCTCTGCACCTGGGTATCAGCATAAAAAGAGAGAAGAGGAGGAACGGAGAGAATGTTGCACTTCCTACTCCTTCAGTGCATTGTGTGCCTTTGTTGTGCCTGGACTCAGCTGGACTGTGATGTCCATACCTAAAGGTTTCATGCGATGTTCCATTTTCTCTAAATGTATATCAAACCAAAGTTAACACAAATTCTAGGTCATTTTAGATGTTTGACTTAACTGCGTAATTTCCAATAAAGTGACGGTTGAGATACAAACACAGCATTAATGCATTTAATATCTTTAGGCCAAAATAATTACCTGCATTTTTGTTTAGCACGCTCATTTTGAAGATTTGTATTTAAAAAAAAAAAAATGTAAGAGTTCCGCAATATAAGCGTAGACATGTAGTACGTGTAAGAGATCGATATATAACAAGTGTCTTAGAAGTCTTTTCAGTCTCCATGAGCCAAATGGCTACTTCTAAAATGTTGAGGCTGTAATGAACTATGTTGCGGGCCCAGGCACCAAGGGGGAGTGTCTAAGAGAGTGCAAGGTGCAAGCCTAATAGAAGAAGGGGAGAGGGAGAGAGAGAGAGAGGGGAAAAAGGGGGAGTGAGAGAGGGAAGAGACACGGGCTCTGTCTGATTGGGGTCTTGTATCTAGGAGGTGTAGATTGATAACATGTATGTCCAGTAAGGGGTCGTTTAGTCGAGGTACAAGTTATGTGTTTGTCATATTCGAGTCAATGGCATCGGTATATGGCTGGAAGCCCTTTCGTAGGAAGTGTATCAAGACTTGACGGGCCGTTCCCGGAGGGATTTATCTTAAGGGTTACTATATATTCTGTACTGCTTCCACCTCTGGCATGTGGTCCCGCTGAAGAAATAAAAAGGCACGCATCCCCAACAAGTAAGTGATTGTAGGGTTGTATTTGGAGGGACAACCCTTAAAGGGATTCTCCAGTACCAGGAAAACATATTCGTTTTACTGGCACTGCAGGACCCTCTAGTGCCACTCTCCCTTCCACCCACCATCCCAAGTTGCTGAAGGGGTTAAAACCCCTTCAGTGACTTACTGGAGTCCAGTGCCGATGTCCCTCGGCGCTGGGTCATGCTCCGTCTACTCTCCGTCTATTATACAATGCTTTCCTATGGGGATTTCGGTAACGCTGGAAGGACTTAATCCTGCAATGTAAATATTGCAGTTTATGAAAACTGCAATAATTACACTTGCAGGGTTAAGTGTAGTGGGAGTTGGCACCCAGACCACTCCAATGGGCAGAAGTGGTCTGGATGCCTGGAGTATACCTTTAATTCAAAGAAGGCTTCCCTTATCACCTACGCCAGAGGTTTGACTCTGATCAAGTTGGGCCTCCGTATGAGCGGGTTGTCAAAGGTCTGAGGTAGGTGTGCCTACTTATATTAGGTAGGCTGTGGTTGGTCATAACTCATATGCTATCAGGTGGTAGTCAGGAGACAGTTTGTTCATATGGGGATATGTTAAGTCACATGCGTATAGGTGGAGTTTGTACCCATGACCTTACATCCCAGTTGTCTGTGTGCCCCCCTGAAAACACCTATGAGATAAGATAACATGTAGACCTAGAGGTGAACATGACGTATTATGCCAATTAGATATAAATACAAGGGCTGTACAGGCCATGGTGTTTGTATCAAAGTGACATCAAGTAACCATTGTTTGCTTGTGTTTTAAGCAATATGACTGGTGTAGTACCTGGTGAAGGGCGGTCAGACCATCTTCATTACACAGGTTGGGATCCACATTGCTCTGAAGAAGAGAAAGGACTGTGGGGGAAAAAAAAGAATGGGTGAGAATGTTGGATAAAGTGCTTGTGATTCATCCCAGCTCTGTACACCAGATCTAATTATGCCAGTCCATACATCCTTTATTCAGAAATCCCTAACTGTTTATCCTAGCCCAGGATGTGTCGGCCTTCTATAACAGACTTGATCACAGAGGTTGCATACATACAAGCAGTGGTTGGAATGGGGATTTCAGAAATTATTACATTAATTATATACATACAGTATAAGCTGTGGGGGTTTCTGAAAAGCTAGAGGGTGGACAATAACTTGGAGAGATGTTGGTTGGACTCAACATCGTAGATGCACCAGGCTACACCAGTCTCCTACTGGAACTAATCCCTGTCCAGGCCAAGATCTGAATCATTATTGTAGAACTTTGATGGCTCATCTGTGCCAGGGTACTTTGTGGAGATTTCACATCCTGTAACACGGTGCAAGAGATGCCAAACTCTGTACCCTCTACCCTACAGAAACCATGCCAATTCCTGGTGTAGTTATGACACATTTCATATCCATGTTATAGGCTCACCACATGGTTTGTCCTAGTCCATTGTCTGTGTTTGTACCCCACCAAAATGTTTACTCCTGATCAAATGGCACCATAACATATTTCTGTGCCAATCTGAGACTTCCCATTTTTAATTCCTGCGCCGGTGACACCAATTCCATCTTTCCTACACCAGTGACACCAAGATCGTAAGTCCTGTCCTAATGACAGCAGTCTTTTTATTGGCATCCTGAGAAGTTCCTGTACCACGCTCTTAAGTTCTTTCCTAGAAGGACCACATACTTTGATCCTGGCACAGTAAAACCATGCTGAATTCCTGTACTAGCAGTACTACTTCCTTAAACTTGTCAAACTCTGTTTCCCTGTGCCTTAAATGCAGGGCTTTGCCTCTACCCTTTTCAAAAGATCTGGTCCATAGCCATCACAAACCTGCCTGCTCCGGTTCCTAACAAGCCAGCATAACAAGCTTCCCCAAGGTTTATTAGTTCACAAATCATAGTGTCCTTGTGCTTTTTATAACTCTTTCTCTGCCACGCTGCTGGATACACGATAGAATGTCCCATCCCAATGACGTTTGCATGTATGTGGCCTTGACAGCCACTCCTGCATATTTAAACTCCATTAAAAGGACATTATTCTTGTAATTAAAACTTCAACAGCTCACACCAAGTCTTTAGCTGCAGTTGCAGATGATTAGGGATAAGACTCCACTAAAACTATTATTTGGATGTACCTCTTTTGCATGGTTCAGTGCTGAACTGCTCATTTAACAATGTCACACAGTGTTGTGATATTTCACTCTGTGTGTTACCACTTTGTGATATGATATACTTAGGTAAAAGTCATCATTAATGAATGAGGCTTAGAGTGCAATAACTAATACTGGCAAAACCAAACATTTAACTAAACAAGAGTTAAGGATGGAGGGTGCAATAGTCATCAATGGAAATAGAAAGGGGGATGGAGACAGAAAGAAATACAATTTAAAACAGAAATAGGAAAAATAAGAGGTCTAGGATGATCATCCAGAAATGCTACCTCTGTTTAGGGCAAGTCCTGCAGGGTTGAGTGCTTTAGCTGTACATAAACTCTGGAAGTTGGCCTGGAGCTGTGTGAAGTGTGCATTTAATACCTTTTATTAATGGGCCCTAGGCCAAGTTATATAATGGCCTTCTGCCTCTCTGTGATACTGTGACACTGTGACTGTTAAGACAACTCGCACACAAACACACATAGTAGTCCCGCAACCCCACTTACAACCCACATAGTCACACAACCAGCCTCTCATATGCAATACCCCAAACAGCCCCACACAGGCACACACCAAACACACTGTGTGACATATCATCTACACACAAACAAATACACAAGCGACCCCCATACACAGCCCACATTCATAGGTTTCATACACAATATCTCCAACCACTCACGAACACATACAATATAACAGCCCACATACGCACAATACAATGCTACAAAGCAACTCAAGCACACAGCAAGCTTAATACGGCAATATACACACTTCAATTTAAAAAAATTGGATTGGCACACCAAGGGACTTTAAAATCTTGTTTTGGCACATGACTACTAAAAGCCTGCCTGCCCGCCCGTGATAAAGCTACACAGACATGTTACTACTGTAAATGATGATATAGCTACATATCATCCTATCGGTTACTGTAACATGCTGAATGTGATCATATAGCTACATGTTATAGACATGTTACTGTAACATGCTAAATATGATGATATAGCTACATGTTATAGACATGTTACTGTAACATGCTGAATGTGATCATATAGCTACATGTCATAGACATGTTACTGTAACTCTGCAGGTTATTAAACATTGCACTCTATCATTCTGTATACAATTTATCTGCAATAGTTACTGCTCTAAGTTTAACTATTATAAGACTGCGTTTTCGTACATTTTGCCGTATTCGCAGAGCAGGTGATTACTATAGTTACGGTATTAGCCTGCATATTATCCGATGTCTGCATATCATAGCTCACACTGCCAGCCTGAATAATTTATCCCTGGGGTATATTCACTAAATTCTGAATTGTAGCAAACTGAAATCAGAAAGACCAAATGTCCGCTGTGACTGTAGTGCAGTTAAAGGACTTGACCAGATCAGCAATCTTTTGACTAAATGTGCCATTCTATTTTCAATTCTCTACAATGTGGAGTTTAGTGGCTAAACCTTTACATAGATAACATTAACATCATCTAATTAGTGGTTCAGACTATTTCAGCAGCATCTGCCCCTGACAGGCGTATAAACTGAACCCATGCAATTTCCACCGGTAAACACTGCCGGTAGAATGTTCTGTATATGTCAGCAGAGAGCTTTTTTACATGGTCTCTTTCCAACAGATCATTTTGTCAAATTTCTGCCCTATTAGTTTTGACCTAAATCAGTACTTTGTTTAACGGACACTGTAAGCACAAGAACCACCACAGCTGTAGTGATTTTAATACAAAGAGACTGTCCTTGCAGTCTTTCATTTTTAAAAGCTGTCTTATCTGTGTTTACATTTGTTTCTAATGGTTGTTACTCGGACTTCCAATAGAGGTGCTTCCTACAATCTTTGTAGGACAGATATTTGCCGTTTTCACTCTCAGCACACAGAGATGTGTCTGTATAAGGAGATGCTAAGTAGCGGAGTGTGGCACACTACGGCCCCAATGCTTCCCTGTGATGGAATATTAGATTGGCTGAGATCATCAGCACTGATGATACCAGTGAGTATCAGAGAGGCTGGACTGGGTTGGAGTAAATGTGAGCAAAACTCAATTTAAAGGGGACTCTAAATTTGAAAGGCTAGGAAGAAACTTTGTTATAAAATATGTGTTTTATCTGTAATGTCAAAGGAAACGAAGTGCTATTTTTAAGAAATGGAAACATTTGAGGTCAAGAAACAGCTCACAGAAAAGGACCATCAAATTTGAAATGGTAATCAGTAAAATCATCACTCACCACAAAGAGATGACGGAAATCAACATCAGAACATGAACTGTTTGTTAAGAGTTTCATGACACAAGTTTGCATAAGTTGCCACACACTAACATAATGATTGTGTCGGCTGTAGCGGTTGTAAAACCACTGGACTGTGGAGCAGTAAAAAATGTCTTCTGGAGTTTTGCCATCTGTTAATCGGACTGACAACTGTGTTTGGCCAATTCCTGGTGGATGCTACCTGCCTGCTATAGTGTCAACTTCAGTTTCATGGAAGGGTGATAACAGTTAAGGAGCTGTTTTGCTTGGTTTAATCAGTGCCCCTTTAGTGCGAGAGCATACAATGAAACATGAATAAAAACTTTCCTATACCATATCCCAAAATGTCTTCTTAAACCAAGTCAGACCCGTTCAGAAGAGGCTTGTTGCGATTTGCGCAGAATAAAATGATTGTTCTGCACAGATCACAACCTGACCTTACTGAACACCTTACAAGCCGCACCCAACTACCCAACAACGGTACAACTTCACTAATGCTCTTATTAAATTGAAGCCAATACAGGACACAAAGGTATCCAGTGGAAAACCTTCAAAGAAGAGTGGAGACTCTTATAGCGTCAAAGTGGACTCCCATGTCATATTTATGCAAGTGGTTTGGGATGGCAACATACTTTCGGACATACAGTGCAGGTGTTGCTACAATAATATGAGTATCGTCCCGTCTCCATGTCAGAACAATAACTGTGTGGAATGTTATTATAATTCTTTACATTGTTATTATAAAGTACTACTTTGTTGTATGCCTAGGAATGTTACACATATTTAGATTTCTCAGAGTCTGTCTGAGTTGGGACTCCATAAACATAGATGGAGACTACATTTGAGAGCTTGTATTCCATTAAAAAAGAACAAAAAACAAGCTGGGAGCCACAGAGATTTCGAGATATTATACATGAGCAGAGCAACAGGGAAACCCTGTCGAGAAGCTCCAAGTGAGCTGGACTTAATTTTAGTAAATACCTATAGGACTAATTCCACAGCTATTAAAGGAACACTCCAACACTCTAACCTGTTACTTCCTCTCCATTGTACTTAATATAAAATGTAGATTTGGCGTGAATGCACCCGAAAGCGAAACTGCCACTAATACTTGAACTGGTGGCCTGACTGTCCTTTTGCGCACAACCTCTTCCTTACCCCCCCACCCCCCACTCCATAGCTTACTTCACCTGCTTCTGAACTCCCAACTCCCCTTTTTCTTTTCTCTCCTACTTACCCTCCTTGTCACTTTCCAACACCACTCTAAACACTACTGTTTTTAAGCCTTTAATTAAATAATTCCTTATCCGGTTGCCTATGGAGCCTAACCCTTTACTCCATATCTACTGATCCCTGTCCATTTTGTGACTTATAAATGAGCCTTACAATAAGTTGTGATGGTGGAGCCAAGGTTGTATCTGCTTTGTTATACGCTGTGTAACCAAGCCGAATGTTAATCGACTCTAGAAATAGCACAAATTTCAGAAATTCAGATTTGCTACTTTAACACCGTTATGCCATTGTAAAATACTGTTTACCTATGTCTGCACCTGCTTGTTACTGTCCGATCATTTACTACCCCTTTACCTGTCTTATTATGTATCACTGAGAACTTACAAAAATAAAGATTGTCAAAAAAAAAAAAAAGTTTAGATTCCCTATTGGTCAGACTCCTTGTCTAGTGGATTAACCCCCTGTTTTTTGGGGCTTTTTTCCCACTGTGTTATACTTTATATATATGTACATATTCTGCATTACATTATGTGTGTTATTTAACACATTCCTCAGTTCATAATATTTTCCTAACCAATGTGCATCTACCTCACTGCATTTCTTTTACAAGCTCTATTATTTCGCACAGTATTTCAGCCCAGTAATATATTTAGAATTTTTTTTTTTTTAACAAGGAATCTATTTCAGGAATAGCTCCATGTATTTAACTCTTCCTACGAACTCATTTCACAGAAGGATTTCTGCATATACACCTTCCTATGGACACAAACACTATAATTACTGTGGTATACACCCTTTATAATAAATGTATAGTTCCTTTCTGCAGGAATTCCCTGCTAAAAAAAAACATGTTATTATGGCAACATCATCCCTGCCTTACACCCAAAGTCCTGAGTCAGAAGCACAAGTTTCAGGTCATTAGCTCTGTTATTTGTGTATATTAATGTGCATTGTTTAAAGTGTGGTGGACGGACAGGTCTATTCTGGGACTCAGCCTAATGTGTTAACCAACACTCCTCAACACAATCACAGCACTAATCACAATCACGTTCAAGGGATACTGAGCAGTGTGTTAGGACAATATTCAGATACTTAAAATTTAAATAAAAATAAACAGTCTGTGTTCTAGCAGGCAAAAAAAAAAAAAAATACATAGGTTGTATAAAAGTTTCCATGGAAGAAGAAAATTAGTCAAGTCAATTGGACTTATCCCTGGATTAACCACATACCCATGTATCTGTGGTAGGCAAATAGTAATTTCAGGCAAAAAAAGTTTGATTAACCAGTGTTTAGGCAACCAGTTTGCACATTTCTTACAGTTTTTCCCCCCAGATTTCAAAGCCATTTGCCGAAGAAATAGGCACACAGGCAAGACCAGAAAGTGGTCCTTGCTCAGCAATAAACTTCCAGGCATCTTTGGAAAGTGGTCATTTGCTGGCTGATAACCAACTAGGTACCCCTCAAGGAATGTCCTCGCAAATAAGTGACCAGGATCCCCAGAAGGGTGGCCCTTGCTTGTCAATAAATGCCCTAGGTGTTCCTGGAAAGTGGCCCCTGCTCTCTAATAGGTGGGAAGGGTGGCACCTACTTGCCAATAAATGCCCAGGCTCTACAAGAAAACGCCACCTGCTCATCAATACACACCCGGACAGGTACCCCAGTAAAGTGGCCGCTGCTTGCCAATAGGTACCAAGGTTCCTTCAAGAATAGTGACCCCTGTTCAACAGGCTCCCAAGCAACACCTGGGAAAGTGACAGCAGTTTGTCAAGTGGCTTCCAGGAACCTCTGTCAATAGGTGCCCAGGCATATCCAGAAAGTGGCCCCTGCTCACCAATAGATGCCCTGGAACTACTGGTAAGTGTAAATAGTTTTGCTTGAATTATAGTTACGCAAATGGTGTTTTAAAGTTCAAATAATGATTTGTTTAGGTAAACACTTTTTGCCATAATTACAATTTTACCACATGACAGGAGGCTTTGTATTTTGCATAATCTTTCGTTACTAACTCCCACAGCAGCAAAGAAAAAGAGTGAAAACTGAGAACCAATCACAATGCAGTACAGGGTATAAGAGGTGTGTCATATTACATCATTTCCTCTTTCTTTGCTGCTCCATCACAAGATAAGTACAGATTTTGGTTTCTCCTCTCTGTCCTTCATACTTCTTACCTACAGTGATTTATATCATATTTTCTAGCTTGTATCATAGTCTATTACTACCCAGCTTGTATTTCTCCTGTTACTCTACTGACCTCCATTTCTCTGGGCTAACCACTCTGTTTCTGGGCTCTTTCTGCCTTTCCCTCACTCCAGGGACGCCCCCCCTGGCTCTGGGACCCTTCAGCTGTAATTTCCCCTTACCCGGTTTACAGGAGGACTTACCGGCATTCTCACCATTTTTGCCACATCTCCCCAGAGCCAGACCTCTCTTCGCGTTTTTTCCCCGCCTTTTACCGTTCTTCGCACGTCCTTTCACTTCACGAACGGCATTAATCTTATCGTTCATTCGCGAAGGTACGTTTCGTTTGCCGAACGCTTATCGTTCGGCAATTTCCCTGCGAACGCCTTGTATTAGGTGCTCACGTTCGTCTATTCGTGCGCCGAACACCCGCACCATTTATTGGCGCTCGCGTTCGGCTACTTTCCTGCGCACGAACGCCCGGCTCTGTTCGTGCAATTCCTTTTGCCGCCTTAAGCTCTTACTGCACCTATTCCCTCCATCATGAATTTCCTCACCTCCCTATTCACAGCCGGAAAATCATACCGGTCTATCAATGTGATACGTTCAGCGGCCCATACTCCGACTCAAGGGACCCACCTATCTGTAGACTCCTCCGCGGCATGCGCCTTCGGCGCCCCCCCGAACCCAAATCCTCAAGACTTTGGGACGTTGGCATTATCTTACAGTTTTTACGGGACTGGCCTCCTAACGAGAAATTAGCACGCCGCCAGCTTACGGCGAAATTCACCTTCCTGCTCTGCCTGGTCTCCTTTCGTCGGTTGTCCGATGTACGCGCTTTTGATGCCAACGCATTTACCTTTTGCCCAGCGGGTGTACCCTTCCAGGTCTCACGACGCACGAAGTCCGACTCTTCCACGGTCTTTTATCCCTTTTTTCCCTCAGACCCTCAGCTCTGCATGGTCTTTACTCTCCGTCAATACATGGAAGCTACCGCGACGTTGCGGCCTACTTCCAATCGTCAACTTCTCATCTCTTACGTCCGCCCCTACGGTCCAGCCTCGGTCACTACGTTGGCCAGATGGGTTAGCTGGCTCTTATCCCTTGCTGGGATTGACCAAACTTTTGGAGCACACTCCGCTTACGTGGCAGGTGCCTCCCTTCCAGATATCTTGCGAGCGGCGGACTGGACTAGAGAATCCACCTTTAGGACGTTCTACTTCCGTCCTCCATCTAACCCAGCTTTTGCTCTACTTTCTCAGCGTTGAAATTGCAAAATACGAAGCCTCCTGTCATGTGGTAAAATTGAAGATTATGTTAGCTTTAGTGTACTAATAATCTTAATTTTAATAATAACAGGAGGCAAGCATTTTCCCTCCCTACTCTCTTTCGTTCTTCCCTCCCTCTGCTTTTCATATATATCTATAGCATTTGTTTCTTCTATTACTGTACTAGTGTCTAACTTTTGCCCATCAAGGACTTAATGTATATATTCAATGTGGGTGGGCTATTTAATTAGTACTGTTAGATGGGAGGACGTTATTGTTTTATTAATTAATCTTAAGGGATAGATATTCATTGCTTTTACACAACCACTTTTGGAATCTAATACCTTTTATATTCTCTTTTCAGTTTAATCAGAAACCACAAGGGACTATTAAAGACTCCGTTCAAGGTTTTATTCATCATTACGTCATTGAAGATCATCGTTTGAACTCCAAGACATCCTAGTTGGATCTCTACCTGATTCCTGTTCAAGTTATACATGTTTTTTCTACGGTTATCCTGTATTATGGACTTGTGATGTCGCATTAGTTAAGAGGAAATCATGTAATATGACACGCCTCTTATACCCTATACTGCATTGTGATTGGTTCTCAGTTTTCACTCTTTTTCTTTGCTGCTATGGGAGTTAGTAAAGAAAGATTATGCAAAATGCTTGCCTCCTGTCATTATTAAAATTAAGATTATTAGTACACTAGAGCAAACATAATCTTCAATTTCTTTACTATACAAATGAAAACACTGTATAGTTTGCATTACTAGGGACTCACACATTTTGAGTTACAATCTTTCAATTATTCATATCTAAAGACCACACCACATCTACTACCACAATATACTAAAATATTATTTCACATTACAGCACGTTTCAACATCCCCTAACTTAGATAAAGTTTAACATCCCTAAAAATACACATTTATCATTAAATGTCACATCTTTTCATTGGTTACCTTCCTCTGGGTCGTTCCTCAGACAAGCCTCATGGAGAGTGACGCGTGAAGGGAATGAAACTCTCTTGCTCCTAGTAGGAGTCTTTCTTCTGGCCTTTTGCTGCCTGCGTCTCCTGCCTTCTTCATCACGCTCGTTCTGTGCCCACCTTTTAAGCTGCTGCTCCCTACGCTTTTTGGCTGCACGAAGTCGCTCAAGTGTGGAAGCCTTCTCCAGGAGCTGTAGCTCAGCCAATAAATCCATGGGTTTGGTAGCCATCTGTCACTGTCAGGGTTGCAGCCTCCCCTTTCTTCCAGCAAGCCGTAGACACCTCCACATCTCCAATTTATCTGCAATGAGCAGCAGAGTGGTGATTTTCACGGTTTAACACACATTTAAATTACAATGAACTTGGAACACGATCTAATGATATTAACAAGCTAAACAGTCTATTGCACACGGGAGAAGTGTGTCTGCAGTGTGTCTAAAATATACTGAAACTGAGTTACAGGGTCAATATCTCAAAGTCAGTGGTTTCCTCTCTCTGAAGCTCTGAGCAGACACATTCAGGGCACATCCTGTGTGGTGACAATGACGGAGGCGTAAGATCACACTAATTCAGGAAAGACTGGGCAATTTTGAAACTTCCTGTTGTCACAGGAGAAACATGCTGGCAGGTACAATGCATGACAGATTGATAAAAGTGCGGAAAAATTGTGTTATTCTCTCTTTTTCCTTCAACTTCCAGTACCTTGTGTAATATGATTTTTCCAACTAAGTACTCTATGTCACACCACATACATACAATGTAGATTTTTCAGACATTTGCCAAGCTCCGTGTCCGGACCCCCTGGTGAATACTACAAGACACTCTAGTGGAATATGTAATAGAATAAGTCGCAGTAGAAATGCTAAGCAGGTAAAGCAGAAAGAGATTGGGTGTGAAAGTATATTTTACGATATAGCACTCTGAACACAGTGTGTCTAGTGAGGGCTGAAGAGACAGGATGTGGTTCAGAACAGGAATAACAGAGAGATAGTGACTGCGATACAAAAACAGATAGAAAATAAATCGAGACAGTTGCAATGAAATGGATATAACTAAAAAAAAATTTAAGGCATAGTACAAAAAAGCTCAGGAAAATCAATACACACACACCTTAAAGGAACACTATAGGGTAAGGAACACAAACCTTTATTTCTAATCTTACTTTGATTCCAGTCTGCTGCTGATGGCTTTGCCCATGATTTACCTACTTGGCTTACATCATCAGAAGTGTTTATCAAATCCACTCACAAGGCTTTCCCATAGGAAAGCATTGCATTGGCTGAGACTGTCAAGGAGGCAGATCAGGGGCAGAGCCAGCGCAAGTCAAATACAGCCCATTAATGAATCAATTCATCTCTATGAGGAAAGTTCAGTGTCTCCATGCAGAGGGTGGATAAACTGAATGGCAGCACTGCCCCACAAAGTACCACTACAAGCCATCTGAGGAGTGGCCAGTGGAGGTATGCTTAAGCAGTAATGCTTTTTTTTTTCCCTAAAAAAAATGTGTTTACTGCAAAAAGCCTAAAGGAAATGATTCTACTCACCAGAACAAATACAATAAGCAATACAATAGTTCTGGTGACTATAGTGTCCCTCTAAGGTATGATTGATGCATTAGATGTTTACGTATTTCTCATTACATTTTCAAGGTATAATTATACCATTTTTTAAAGTACACCGATAAGTGTACCCAGGGCCGGACTGGGAAAAAAAAAAACTTTGGCCCTGGCATTTTTCAATCAGAGCAGCCCCCTAAGAAGGGTGCGGGGCCAAAGAGGGTGTGTTTAGTCATCACTAATGACAAGCACGCCCCCTCTCAAAGTGAGCATGTTGGTTGAATGCACAGAGCCCCACTGAAGAGCTCTGGCATTCGAAAAAGGCCCTGTATTTGTTCTGCGCAGCGCAAGCAAATTTAATAACATGCTTGTGCTGTGTTTGCTTTTAAATTGTCTCTGTTGTCTCCATAAGTGGGATACCAGAGGACAAAAGGGCCAGGAAAGTGTATGGTGCATGTGTTTGGAGTCTGCTTGTGGGATTGCGTGTGTGTAGAGTGTGGTGTGGTATTGTGTAAATAGGTCAATTTCATTCGTGTTTGTGGTGTAATATGTGTGGCTAGGAGCTGTAGAGAGTGTGTGTATAGGGGCATAGTGTTATAGGGGATGTAGCGAGTGTGTGTATACGGGCTGTAGTGTGTGTGTGTGTATAGGTGATGTAGTGTGTGTAGGGGTTGTAGAGAGGGTGTGTTTAGAGAATGTTGTATGTGTTTGCTTACAAGGAATGTAGTGTGTGTTGGAGATCTGGTGTAAATGACCCAGAGTGTGTATAGGAGATTGTGTGTGTGTGTCTGTAGAGGATTAAGAGTGCATATAGGGTAAGGAATCTAGCATGTATCTGGAGCGTAATGTGTGTAGTGGTGCAGTGTTAGGGGTGATGTAGTGTGTATATATATATATATATTTGGACGTATTGTATGTGTGAGGTGCGCAGTGTGTGTGTGTGAGGGGTGCAGTGTTTGAGGGTGTTTTTATCTGCCGTCCCATTCTATGTTTCTAATTTTCTTTGTCTGTTAACTCACTAAGGGTTATTTTATAATATATATATATATATATATATGTGTGTGTGCTGTATATGTGTGTGAGGGTGCTGTGTGAGTAAGGGTGCTGTCTGTCTGAGGGTGCTGTCTGTCTGAGGGTACTGTGTGTCTGAGGGTGCTGAGGGTGACGTCTGTGTCTGAGGGAAGCTGTGTGTGTGAGGCGGCTGTCCGTGTGAGTTTATTTTTTATCTAAATTTATATATTTTTTTATTAATAAAAAAAAAAAAAAAAAAGAAGTTATATCCCTGTTCTGCCATGGAGTGGGAATCGTGCTGCCTTCCCTGGTGGTCCTAGTGGTGAGAGTGAACTCTAGCCTGCAGGGAGTGAACACTAGCATGCCGCGGCAATGCTCAAACCTCGCGAGAGGAACACGGCGGAGCTGCTGGCTAGAGCTCCACCGGGTCCTCTCTCCTCTCCCTCCCCAGCCAGCGGCAATGTTACAACGCCTGTGGGCCGGTGAGGGAGATCTTTGATCTCCCCACCGGCCTACGAAAGCACACAGCAGGGCCAGCGCTTGGCTAGCACAGGCCCTGGATGGGCCAGCTGGGGAGAACCTGTGATCTCCCCTGCCGGCCTCGGCCCACGGCCATCGCATTTGCCGGTATGCCCGATGGCCAGTCCGGGCACCATAAATAAGCAATGTAAAATAAATAAAATATTGGTAGATATTGTTTTGTATAGAGCTTCTGCATTTGACATTGCACATGATATATACATGCATCCCTCACATTCCTAATGGTAAGTGGTGGGGGAGACATGTGGCCAGGTTCCCCCCAATTAAACTTAGACTTCCATCAAACAGTTCAGGGGATGGGAATAGGAAAGTAATGGGTGAAAGGTTTGATAATGTATTCAGGTTTTTGTTCAATTTCGTTAATAAATTTAATAATTTAATTTGTCCCCTATGCATGTCTACTATAAATACAGTCTTAGTCAAAAAAAGGATCTATTGGCGATGCTGCATTTGCTCAGTACTGTGCTATTCATGGCGGACCGTATGTTTTTGGACATTGATATTTTATTGTATTGGCAATGTACTCCAACACATTGGATTGGAAATGAAGTAATAAAACAGCCACTTTTCTCATAGTAGTGACAGTGCCAAACATAAAATGTGTAAAAGCATTATGATACAACATGAGCAGTTACATATGTCTGAGCATAGCTGAGCTAACACAGAAATATCTGTTGTATATAGTGAGATGAAATTGTACATGTAGTCACATATATATTATTCAAGCCACTTTTAAGTAATATAGATTGCTTACAGATGAACAAAGCCTCTTTTATATTGTGTAGACATAACATGGAGCATGTTGAAAATAAACAGTTAGAGAATAGACTAGCATCAACAAATAAAGATTAAAGACCCCTGGGCCCAATAGGAAAATTAGAAAAAGATCTAAGCGTTAATAAGATACAGGTGACTTTATAATTAGTGACATTTAAGCATACCTTATGCTAGAGAGGCTCTCTCATACCCCTAGTTGAGTTCACCCATCTCCCGCAAGTGGCAGAACACAGTCCCGTAACACAGAATTAAGCACATCAAGAAACCCTACATCCACGCTGCAATGCTGGGTTACAACATAGCTTGAGCTATAAGGTAAACTGTGTACCAAATCCCAGAGTATTATGTATTACCATGCCACCGGTAATAACGATACAGTGTATTCCCTGCACCGGTGTAAACAGTGGCCTTGAGGTGTTGTAGGCGCATCTGTTCAAATGCATGGCCCTTTCATGGTACCAGAGCCACTTGACAGCAGAAGAGTGTAGTAGGTGGCATCGTTGTGCGAGTCTGCTGTCTACCAGACAGCTTTATCCAATTATCTTCCAAAAATGTATCTAGCCAGCCAGGTCTTAGGACTGTAGGCTTTTCATGGTTGATAAGCACTTGACATGCGCCATTTTAGGTTGCTTGATGCATCCCACCTCTTCTCCTCCTTGCATCATAGCCAGTATAATCCCTACTGGCAATGGTGGGAAACGAAGATCGCTAGTATAATCATTACTGGCAATGGTGGGAAACAAAGATCGCCAGTATAATCCCTACTGGCAATGGTGGGAAACAAAGACTAGCTGCAGAGGCTCCAATTCCAGCTAGATCAAGGGTAGAGTGATTGGCTTCTTCTCTCCCACCATCGCCAGGATGGTTGTAGTTAGGCCGCAGAAAAACCCAAGCTAGATTACACAACAACCAGGAGTGAGAAAATGAGGTATGCTGAGCTCGTAAACTGTATCTTTGTACCTGTAAGCTAAAGAACCGGATTTGTGCATAAAAAGAGCAGCATTCCAGTCAAAATTTGAGTTTCTCCACGGAGCTAAACAAACTTCCGACCGTTCAGCCAGGCCCTACAACCCCATTGTTTTTTTTTTAACACTGTCTCAACTGTGGCATTCTAAAAATGGATTCAGGTTGTATCGTTGACATTTGATTCTGGAAAGTGTTTGTTTTGATTTAGCAGCATATGGCGGGTCAATGTTCTACTGAGAGGTAAAATGCCCTCCAGTGCGTTTTAAGGCATTTAACCAGTTCTAAGCAGAGAATATACTTTCTTCAACAGTCAGAGTTATGACTCTACTTCCGCCAGTGTAACACACAAGAACATCTGCAATTCCTTAATTTCTTCTGATTTCCAGCCTCCATCACTCTTAGACAGGTTAACCTCTGTCTCACCCATCCATATTACTTTATTTCACATTTCTTCATTGTTATGGACATTTTGCCAAACTGTTACTTGTTTGTTCTGTTCTTACAAGAGGTTTTCATCTTGTGATAAAGTTATTGCTGTCTATTTGTTTAGTTATGGCGCCCTTTAACACTTCTAAGCCTATATACTGGAGAGTGTTCTTGATCTATTCCACAGTTGCAAAGTGTTTTTTTCTTTACAATTGCAAACATTTTACAGTCATCGATCACAATGGTTTTCTGCGGTCTATGAAGACGTTTGCTATTTCTGAGCTCACTGTTGCATTTGTTTCTTAAAATTCTTGATTCTGGCATACATAATATTGCAGCTATATCGTTAATGCATTTTTTTATGTTTAACTTCACGATGACCACCTGCGATAGCACTGACACTTAGCTCCGCATGTTGAGAGTTAAATGAAACAGTCTTACGATACAAATACCAGACCACGAATCGACTCCCTGACCAATTGCAACAACAGAAAAGGAGTTGTAGGAGAATCCCTGGGGATACAGTGACATGGTCGTCTTCTTTCAACATAATCCTAATAACGAAGTGCAAATCTAAGCCAGGAATTGGGCTGGAGAGCATTCAAGAAAATGGGCTGTTGGGTGGGACAATGGGAGAAGTTAGACATCTTTCTACTTGCTCCCCGTGACACCAGGACATCTGAGCTGGGAGCTTAACATTGGACAGGTTTAATATTGCTAGTCTAAACAGGCTGCAGGTGTAGGCGTTTGTGTGTCTTGGAGGGATGCAGTCATTACAGCAGACAAGAATCTCAGAAAATATAGATTCGTTATTTTTGTCATTACAGTAGCACCACTATTAAGAATTGCTCTGGGTGTTCACCACGAATTCCATTTTTTCAAAGACTCTCAAAAAAGGCTGCCAGAATGTAGATTATTAGCCTGTAAAAAAATACCAACTACCCCTAGATAAGTCTCCAACTTAGTCTGTCCCCTTTAGGCATGTGGTAAACAGGGCAGGATTTCAGGATAAGCGTAAGTGGGCGGAACTCCTTGATCGTCCCATTTATCGTTGGTGGAACCATTGGAGCAGCGGTGTGCTGGGGGAATAGGAGAGACATGGGGAACAAGTGAAGAAAGGGGAAAATGAGACAGGAGGAAGGAACAAGTAAGGAAGGGAACAAAATGGAGAGGGGACACATGTCCGAGAGAGTCACTTACGCACTACTTCCTAGTCACTTACACAAACACGTCCAGTCACATACCCCATACATACATAGGCACTTACATCCGTTTACCTTGTAATATACCCCTACCTCAATTACAAACCACTTGCACCTATCAGCCCTGTCACATATCCCCTCACCTATCGTTCATCTACACCCATCAACATGACATATCTGTTTTCCAAACACATACTTGGAACTGGTCATATGCCCCTTTCCATCCACCGCCTTACTACTCACTCAGTCATACCCACTCAGCGGGACACATTCACAAACTCAGCCACACAACATGTCACATATACTCACACACCATGCCACACATTGCCATCCAACCAACCACCTAGTCATGTACATCATCCAATCTGCCCTCAAACTAATTGCATTCACGGGTCCAATCACATAAACCAAACTTCACTATGTATAAATGAAGGACTGGGATGTATCTACAAAACTGGCCATTGGACAGCAGATAGAGTAAATCTGGCCCTGGTGGAAAAAACAGCCAAGGTCTCTAACATGGCGGAACTCTTCGACTGTCTGTCCATTTGTCATGTGAGATAGCAGCTGCAGTTTTCAACATGGTAAGTCTTCAACCCAGTCTGCACATGGCTTTAGCCCTGCCATACAAAAACATGTTTAACACTTTATTCTAGAAATGGTGATTATTAAATATGAAAGCTAACAATGGGTTTTTGATGAAATATTTTACACAGTTTAACTAATCACGTATTAAAAGAGACACTATATTCACCAGAACAACTACAGGTTAATGTAGTTGTTCTGGTGAGTATAATCATTGCCTTTAGCCATTTTCATGCAAACACTGCCTTTTCAGAGAAAAGGCAGGGTTTACATTGCTCCTAGGGATACCTCCAAGTGGCCACTCCTCAGATAGCCACTGGAGGTGCTTCCTGGCTCAGGGTTGAACAGTAGGCAGCAGTGCCGTTCAGCATCTCCAGACTCTGCATGGGGATGCTGAATTTTCCTCATAGAGATGCATTGATTCAATGCATCTCTTTGAGGAGGTGCTGATTGGCCAAAACAGTGTTTGGCCCCACCTCTTGTCAATTTCAGTCAATCCAATGCTGGCAGACCTACACGGCGCTGGAAATAAGGTGAGTTTTATTAACTTTTAAAGGGGTTAAGGGGTGGGGAGGGGGGGGCAGGTCACCTAAATGGTTGGTTAAACACTATAGGGTCAGGAATACATGTTTGTATTCTAATGAAGTTACCATCTAATTACATAATTAGAAGAGTAAGTCTTGGAAGGGGTTTTGCTCAAGGGTTCAAATCTAGAATAATGAAATAAATATTAAACAAGCACAAAATTATAAAAAGTAATAATATAATAATCCCTCCCCATCAGATATCACACTAGAACCTTGATATATGGCTCTTGGCCAAATCATTTATCAATACACAAACAAATATTCCACCAGTGAAAAAAAAACAAAAAACTACTACAACCCATGGAACTGATAACTGCATTACTTTCCATACAGGAAGAGCAGACTGAGCTACAAGACGAAACTGTCAGACCGAGGGTCATGAAAGAACAGTGCTGAGAACTGGTAGCACAATAAGTGAAGGGTTATCTAAAAATTTGCAGAAAGGTTTTCAAACGTCATTATTTTTAAAAACCATGCAGCCATAGAGTGAGAACTTGATGACATTATTGACCATTTGGAACTAGACATAAAAGTAAGAAGCAAATTAAACTAAGTCAAGCTAAACAGAACCTTAATTTCCTAATGATTAGCATAAAAAACTTTAAACTGACTCAGTCAGACAAACACCGGCTGCAATCATGTTCTCTGAATTCTGGTTTCACATCATCATTTGGTAATGGCAGGGCCCGATTTATGTCTCCGGACCCAAGTCCCTTTTGCTTGGTCCATGATTTAAAGGGGAAATAAGAGAGTCAAGAAGTGCATATCTCAGTCTCTCTATGACACAGTGAGTTCAGCATGAAACGCGTTGGACTGTTACCTCCCTATCACCCAATTGTTCATAGGCTTTTAAATTATATGATGGATATTTTTTCTTAAAAGTTAGGTGGAGGCTTCTTTATTTAGTATTCCCTACAAGGGGAAAAAAAGAAAAAATATATCAAAATATGTCAATATGTCAAATGGACAATTACAGTCACGGCAAATGCTTCTTAGTCAGGCACCGGTAGGCAGCTTCCGACTAGCAGACCCAGCCCTGAGTCAGTGACTGGAGCAGACTAATCCTTTTTAAAATTTGTTATGTAGTTAATGCATTAACAATATATGCGAAATATAATACAAAAATTTACTCATCCGTCAAGTTCCCACTGTTACAGCAAATCCTCAAGCTTTGCAGTTTTGAGACCTAAACAAATGAGGAAATGACTCAGCCAATCCCGCTGCTCCCATATTTCTATCTCATAATCCCCTGCTGCACGGTAGTATTTTCTGAAATAACATATTAGCTGGCAGTAGGAATCAGCTTCATGTTTGATGTCGATAGTGTAGTGGCCAGAAAGCTTATTTGGCATTGATGTGCAAAAAGTTGTGAAGTTACAGCATTGTGTAAGTCTCAACAACAACAAATACACAAGTTAAAAAAAGAACAAACATATCACTAAGTGAATGAGAATTAAAACAAAATGGTGAATAGGGGAAAAAAACTCACAGGGTTATTCACTAAAGTGAGAATCTAAAGTAAATGTAAAAATTAAGGTCAAAAAAGCAGAATTGACAACCTTTCACTTATTCTGTTCATCCTTTCCCCTTTGACATTTTTTCTTCCATTCTCTAGGCCAGAAGGGTAGACGCATTGCAGAGATAGCTTGACCGCTCGCTTGTAAGGCCTCCAGTGTTTGAGATAGAGGCCCAAACCCACAGATGTACACACAGGTTATCATGCTTATGCATTTCCCCCTTTCTAAATAGAGTCATGCTGTACGCTTTGAGAAGCTCTATAAGGGCACAGGAAGGATGGAGAGAGGACATGCTGATCTGAGGTGACGGAATACCGATGTGGGAAAAACTGTACTGTTTTACATGGAACAATGGATCTGTATATTAGATTGCTACAAGATTCCACCTTGAAACTTTCACAGATGTCAACGATCATTACACCTAGATTTAGCTCTTTTATTACAATTGACAACTCACTGTCAGTTGATTATGTATACATTATTATTGTACGTTTTGTCTACTTGTTAGGTTTGCTTCCTCTGCATAGGAAATTTCTGATTCTGTGACTTACAATAAAAAGCTTTTTAACAAAAAAGAGACAAATTGGAAATCTTTGTAAGTCAGCTACGGTTTCATTTATTTCTTTTATTCTCGGACTATGGCAGATTAAACTACTGGAGACTTAACCCTTACATTAAGGTGTGCTATTCCATCCTACAAAAGAAGGGATTTAATGCTGTTAGGGCAACATAGCCCGCTCTACTGATAGAGCCCTCCCTCCGGCCAGCATGCTTACCCTTTGTGGAGATTACATTTAGGGAATCTGGCTGACAATCCAGGCAGTACCCCGTCAGCCAATCCAGGTGATCTGAGTCATGTGCCAACAGGTCAGGTGCAAGGATTTTTGGCTACACAGGCAAAGATGCATTTTGCTACCCCCCATTAAAAAAAAAAAAGTGTCTTCACCTAGGCATCTTGTAACCCCACTTTTGATTTTCTTACCCTCTTTAGTGTATCCAGAGCCTAATCTCGGGATTAGCACTGGTAGTGGGTTGTAATTGAAAAGTTAGGGCACGTAGTAGGGGGCTAGGGGCTGTAGTGGAGGATATGGGCTGTAATTGGGGGATTAGGAAATGTAGTTGGAGGAAAGGGGCTGAAGTAGGTTTATGGCTACAATTTGGGAAAGGGGCTGTGGTGTGGGTGATATGGGTTGCAATTGGGGAGAGGAGGTGTAGTGGGGAGGTTATGGGGGCTGTGGTGGAGGAGGACAGGGACTGAAGAAGGGGGGACAAGAGCCGGGAGGAAGGGGGACAAAGAGCTGAGGAAGGGACATGGGCTCAGAGGGGCAGGGAAAGGAAAGCTGAAGAAGGGGACAGGGACCGAGGGGTGGACAAGAGCCTGAGGGGGAACAGGGCTGAGGAAGGGGGATAGAGGCCGAGGAAGGATAGAAGCCGGAGGAAGGGGATAGAGGCTGGGGAAGGGATGAGGCTGCGGATAGAAGCTGAGGAAGGGATAGAAGCTGAGGAAGGTGGATAGAAGCCGAGGAAGGATAGGAAGCTGAGGAAGGGATAGAGGCTGAGGAAGGGGATAGGGTTGAGGAAGGGGATAGAGGCCGATGAAGGGGATAGAGTACGATGAAGGGGGATAGAAGCTGAGGAAGGGGATAGAAGCTGAGGAAGGGGGATAGAGGCTGGAGGAAGGGGATAGGGGCTGAGGAAGGTGGATAGAAGCTGAGGAAGGGGGATAGGGGCTGAGGAAGGGGGATAGAGGCTGAGGAAGGGGGATAGGGGCTGAGGAAGGGGGATAGAGGCTGAGGAAGGGGGCAAGGGCTGAGGAAAAGGACAGGGGCTGAGGAAAGGGACAGGGGTTGAGTAGGGGAGACAGGGGCTGAAGAAAGGAACAGGCGCTAAGGAAGGGTACAGGGGCTGAGGAAGGGGGATTAAAAAAATACAAAAAAACTAAAGTGCATTCCCCTCTCCCTGAGGCTTACCTTGGGCCAGGGAAGGGTTGGGACAGGATCTGGAGTCTGTGTGCAGTCAGTGAAGTTGCCTCTCCGGATGATGTCAGGAGGAGGGGGCATGACTTCCTCTGCCCTTCTTCCAGACTCCCCAGCGGTCCTGTGAGAGGAGCAGTGAAAGTCACGCTTCCTCCTCCTGACATCATCGAGAGAAGCCGGCTGACTCCACTGGCTGCAGGGAGAGAGGTCAATTTAAAAATCCGAGTCCCCAGCCAGAGGCAGGGCCAGAGCCAGAGGCAGGGGATTCAGATTTTTGCGCCCCACCCCCTGCTCTGGCGCCCTAAGGCAGCCACCTGAGCCGCCTTATGGACGCGCTGGCTCTGAGTGCCAATCCAGCCGATGACACCACGATCATACGACTCGGATCGACAGAGCAGGGGGTTGTCAGGCAGATCTCCCAATATATAATTCATATAATAACATAATTATACATAAATAATAAATAAATACACATAGAATTAAATAAAACAAACTTTTTTACTTTCTCACACGTTTTAAGATTTTATTCATATTAAATTATGTTTCATATATAAATATTTGATGTGAAATGAAAGCACTATTTCTCCTGAACAAAATGACCTATAATAAGTGTGGATGCGCTTAATATGAAAGAGGTAAAATATGGTTGAGCAGAAATATAGCTCAAATTCTAGGTTTTGTTTCGATCCAGAAGTTGAGCAATTGTCTCAGTCCTTAAGGGGTTACTCATGACTTTAAGTTAAAGTGCCAGAAATTGTTAGTGTTAACCAGATCTTAATCTCAGCCTCTCACCTCCTATGGTGTTCTTAAATCAGTCTACTGTCATGCTGAGCCCTATCGTCTACCTAACAGTAGTAGGTGCAGGAAGTCATGTATCAGCTGGGGCAAATAACTTGTGTAGGAAACTTCCCCTCAGCTGACAAAAGACTGACATGGGGGAAATGGAGACGTATACATGATCAGGGCCATTCATAGGAAATTCTAGCTTCTTCAGATAACGGATCTTGCTGAGGATCATGTGATTTACAATCCAGAGCAGTTCACGGCTCAGTTAATGGAATTTATTTTACTAATCTACTGCAACTGGAATTTGTGTACTATTCACTGTCATGTTTTTACATATCCATACATAGTTTCTTAAACCTTTTCACATTATAATTGACCATACCAAGTTAGACAATAGGCATTACTCTGGTTATACAGCCTAAGTGAATGGATGCCGGTAGGTACCTGATAAGCTGGTATTCCTCAACAACACTTGCTATAAATCAGAACTAGAATGATGGGAATTGTGGTCCAACAGCTGGATACTTACAGGTTGGCTATCTATGCTCTAAACCAGTGATGCCACACAGGTAGCTCACCTCCCCCAGGTAATGCAGAACAACCTCTAGCTAGCCTTCAAGCTAGCAAAGCATCACGGTAGTTTTAGCAAGATAACAGTAACTTGGAGGGCTACCTGACCACAACTGGCCTAAAGCTTACACAATGAGTTTTTTCTGTGATAAGAATAATTTACATTTAAGTAGGGAAGGAGTGTTTATAGGTACACGTCTGCTAAGAATTGAATAGAGACTGAACTTTTAACACCCTTCAGGATGAATTTGGCAGTAAACAGCTTCCCCACAAAGTGTTAGAGACCAGCCCATTGTTCACACTATTTTGGGTGGGAGTGTGATAGGAGAAACAGTCTAGTACCTTGCTAAGCCAGGAAAACAGGGGCCGGTGCACATAGGAACAGGCACCTGCTTCAAAGCAATGCAAACAACCATAGCATATGTACAGCAATATACCTGGCGGACATTAGAAATCATGGGTTCTATTGTTTTAAATTAGAGATTTGCTAGGAAATATCCTTCTAGTCAGAATGACACAAGACCCCCTAATATTGTATAGTATGGAGATGCTTTATACAAAACAACTACATCTTTCATCACGCTTTGTCATTCTAAAGGCATGGCAAGCATCATGGGAGTTGTAGTTCTACAACATCTAGGGATCTACCTTTTGGCCACCTCTGCTCTAGAGTCTAGATTAAGCTGAAAAAATGGCCATCCCTGTTTGGACAGTGCCAGTAGGGGGACAGCTTAGTGCAGCGATGGCTAACCTCTGCTCAGTGAGCATTAAAAGGTCATTCCAGTGCCCAAATACAAAATAAAATGTTTTTAAAAATCATTGTTTAGAAGATATACCCCAAATGAAAACGTGAATTTTTTTAATTATGTTATTTTTCTTTGAGTTAATATATATAAACAGCTTGCAAAACCTGCAGATCTATTGTCAGCAGCCTTTGCAAACCCTCCCCTTCTGACCCTGCCCAGACTTTCTGTGGCTGTCCAATTACAGACTTCCCAATGCAGCCTAATGAGAAGTCTTTGCAAGGCAGGTGCTCTGAGCAATTGCTGCCTTTAGAGTTTAGCTCTGCTGGGCTGACCAAACCAGAAAGTAAAGTTTACCTGTTGTCTGCTTGAATGCAAGGACGTGTAAACAGGTTAATTTATAAAAGTAACAATTTCTACTGAAATTTGCACTTTTTGTAAAATGAAAAAAATAGGACACACACTTCACACATATGGCTTTTCAGCAAGCTAATGTGCATTAGGGATCTGGAATGTCTCTTTAAGGCACACATGTGGGAAGCCAATGAGAGCTAAGGTATCTTTTTTTTTTCTGCCCCTTTTGAAATGTGTGTGTTTTTATGTCAGTCACTGTTTTTAAATATGTTAACAGATTGTTGTTCAGTAGTTTGCTTTCTGGAAAGCAGTGCTTGAATATAACGGTCTGTTATGCCAATTTTGAAAAACCTAAAGCCTAGACACCAAAAGTGCATCAGCGTGCTGAAATACTTTATTTGTGAAGAGTGTGTCCTCTTTTTCATTTTACAGAAACTGCAGGTTTGACTAGAAATTGGCACTTTTCTAAATTAACCGTTTTACACCCCTTGGCTATAAATAAGACAACCGATACTGTTACTTCCTGGTTTGGTTAGCTCAGTGGAGCTGAACTCAAAGAGGCAGCAATTGCCCAGAGCACCTGCCTTGCAAATACTTCTCATTGAGCTGCATTGGCCACAGAAACCCTGGGAGGGGTTAGAAGAGGAGGACTTGCAAAGGCAACACTTTTTCAAGCTGTTTTTAGATATATCCTCAATGAACGTACACATAATTAACTGTATGCGTAGTTTCATTCTAGTATATCTACCACAAAAAAAATAATATTTATATAACATATTTTTTCTTGTATTTGGGTTGTAGAGTGTCCCTTTAAACAAAGTCCCTAAGTTCTCGGCACCCTAGTTAAACAATCAATTCTATGTCCAGCCCTTACTTCACTGGAATCTCTAATTAGATGACTGCATATCCGTCCATGTAATATGCCACAGAATAACACGGTGCTTTATAAATAAGTAAAAAATGTAATCCTATTAATATTAAATAAATCAAGTTGACATCTAAATTAATTCCTGAAGCACTTGGTACAATGATTCAGAAAGTGAAAAACCCAGTCTGCCCAATTTGCATTTTACATATCTCGTGACAGAGTAGAATGAACAAATATCATAGCTGTGTGAAAATAGTGTGGGCTGAAAATATTTTTACAGAGGAGATTAAATTATTCCTCATTTTTATCTTCTTCTGAGACTCCCAAAAACTGAGTGTTCTGCTCACACTGTACATTTATTGTAGCATAACTCCTGATGATACAATACAATTATATCAGGCTCGCTGAGGATAAAGCCTTGCGCTAAAACTCCCACTACTCTTGGGCGGCAGCAATGGTTACAGTATCCAGCAGCCCTCATTGAAGTGGTCTGGGTGCACTGTTCCCCTAACCCTGCAACGGCAAACAATTTAGTTTCAGAGAAACTGCCATGTTTACATTGCATGGCTAAGACAGTACTAGAGGCGATTCCTGGCCTTTCACAGAGCTTTGATGAGGATGTTCAGCGTGTTTTGAAACGCCATATGAAAGCATTGAATCAATGCTTTCCTATAGGGAAAAACTAGTGCGTGCTGTACTTATCGCACATGCACCTGAGGCCCCCACATCAGCTGATGTCAGCAGAGGAGGAGCCTGACCCAGCGCCAAGGGACTGGAATCTGGTAAGTGGAAAATGGGTTATTTAACCCTTTCCTTGCCATCAGGGGGAGGCTGCAAGGGGTTGGGGCAGAGGGTCCCTGTAGTAGTCCCTCAAGGCAAACCTCTTAGGGGTGTCTTACACTAACAATGCACCTTGTTGCTTTTAGCCAACATGCAAAATCTCTAATGAAACGTACTAACCTTTAATAGGACACCCATGGGTGTAATACAAAAGCAAGTTTTAGTTTTTGGTAAAACAGACAAAAATAAAGCCAGATATTCGAAACTTAAAGAAGTCTAAAAATGTTTGATAAATTAGTCAGTTAGTATTTAAACACACCAATAGTCACATAAATAGGGTTCAATCCTCCCGGCACCCACTTTGTGAATACCTACAGTTAACATTATACAAAATACAGCATAATTAGGGTCCTGCGCAAAATTCTTACAGTTTAAGAAACTGTATCGCTGCCCACAAAGGCTATATGGATAAATCTTAAACCCCTGGGTTGATAGCCAAATATGTTTCCCTGTCATTTTGATTATGTCCCAAAGGTACGAACAGGCACACCAAGGAACCCATGCAACTGCCCACAATGATGCGATCAATGAAGCAGCTATGCCGTTCCCAATGCAACCAAGACCCCTCTGATCTTGAAAAGTGGCTAATTAAGTTGTTTCGCCAAATGTATTTAAATGTTATATGGATCTCTGAAGTATTTTCCCAGTTGACAAATGGGTCTCCAAGCAAATGCAATTTACATAATCTGAGTCCCTTAAAATAAATAAATAAAATAAGAAAATAATGAATCAATTAAATAAGACGTTATGGACCACTATCTTAGATGAATCATTCGTTAATCTTCTTTAAGACCCTGTTACTTCACCAATTGATTTTTCCTGTGAATTATTTTTTTAACATAGACATAAAATTGAAAGAGGGTTAAAAATGAGGGAAAAAAATCGCAACATACGGATTCATACATACATAGCTTTGCCTCTAGGCTCCCTGCCACTTCGTTTGATAACTCAAACTACCACCCACTCCCCACGTACAAAAAAAAAAAAGAAAAAAAGAAAATGCAGCACTACAGTTTAGAATACAGAATAGCAACAACGTTATAACATTCTCTGTATCACTGTGAAGTGAACAAAATCCCACTATTACTAGTAGTATTACCATGATTATATAGTGTTACTCAAGCTGTTAGTACATGGGGTTCTAAGATAGGTTTCTTCTCTAGAAGCGCCACACAGATCAAACACCGCTAGCTTAGTCATTTACACGGGATGTGCACCCACTTCTTTGAAGGCACCAACATATTCCGCAACGCTGTACAATCCATAAATATCAATTCGAAAAAGACAAGATCACTTATATGCTGTCAATATAAACGCAGACACAGAGCAACAAATTATAGGGACAGGCATATTCTCCGCTAGACCGATGGATCTATCTTCATGCATGCAGCAAACATATGTATTGATGGAAACATATTAACAGTCACATGGTGGAAAATTATGACAGCTTAGTAGAATTCCCAATTGTATACGACTGATGTACACACACAATGCCCTGTAGACATCAATTTATCATACAACATCTACCTTAAATGCCCTCCCTGCAAGCTGGTGTTACCTGTGATAAATCAGTGCTCTGGGACCAGCAAGCAGTGTTCTGGGACCAGCTTAGACTGAGCTCAAAGACCAGTTGACAGCCACTCAGGGGAAAACACAGACAGGGATCATGTAGCAACAGACATCATCTTGGGACCAGTGCAGACAGGGCTCATCATCCAGTGCAAAAAGAGCTCAGGGAGCAGTAGACAAGACTCTAAGCTCTGCAGGGTATACAGAGGAGGTGTCTGCAGCAGACTGAGGACCTTGCGAGGAGGGGGAGCATGTGCAGAGCCTGCCTCAGTGTATACTCCTCCTACAGCACAGCCAGGCACTGCTACATACATGTATTAAATAGGAGCATCCAGGCTCGGTAGCTGTAATGCGTCACACCTAAAGGAGCAATGTCTGCTTATATCCTCCCTAACGTGTTAACCGGTTTTTAAGATTCACCTATAAACCCGTCTCAAGGACTACATACTTAGTGATATATAAATTTTATTGGCAAACATTGTATTACCTTAGCTGACTCTTTACTTTCTGAATATTAAATGGAAAGAACATTTTCAGAAGGGAAAAAATGCACTGCTTTTCAAAGACATGCACTGCTCTGTGCATACTACATATTGCTCTGCGTATAATATACACACACACTGCTCTGCGTATAATACTGATACACACACTGCTTTGCGTAGAATACTGATACATGTGCTGCTCTGCGTATAATACTGATACACACACTGCTCTATGTAAAAGGCAGATACATGCACTGCTCTGCGTATAATACTGATACACGCACTGCTCTGCGTATAATACTGATACATGCACTGCTCTGAGTATTATACAGATACACGCACTGCTCTGAGTATAATACTGATACACGCACTGCTCTGCGTATAATACTGATACACACACTGCTCTGCGTATAATACTGATACACACACTGCTCTGCGTATAATATTGATACACGCACTGCTCTGCATATTATACAGATACACGCACTGCTCTGAGTATAATACTGATACACACACTGCTCTGCATATTATACAGATACACACACTGCTCTAAGTATAATACTGATACACGCACTGCTCTGCATATTATACAGATACACACACTGCTCTGGGTATAATACAGATACACACACTGCTCTGCTCTGGGTATAATACAGATACACACACTGCTCTGAGTATAATACAGATACACACAAGCAATCTGGGTATAATACAGATACACACACTGCTCTGCGTATAATACAGATACACACACTGCTCTGCGTATAATACAGATACACACACTGCTCTGGGTATATACAGATACACACACTACAGATACACACTCTGCTCTGCGTATAATACAGATACACACACTGCTCTGCATATAATACAGATACAAACACTGCTCTGCGTATAATACAAACACTGCTCTGCGTATAATACAGATACACACACTGCTCTATGTATAATACAGACAGACACACTGCTCTGTGTTTAAGGCAGACACACACACACTGCTCTGCGTATAATACAGATACACACACTGCTCACTGCTCTGGGTATAATACAGATACACACACTGCTCTGCGTATAATACAGATACACACACTGCTCTGCGTACATACAGATCATACACACACTGCTCTGGGTATAACACAGATACACACACTGCTCTGTGTATAATACAGATACACACTCTGCTCTGCGTATAATACAGATGATGGGCCACAGGCACTGCTCTGCATATAATCACAGATACAAACACTCAGCTACTGCGTATAATACAGAAGAACACACTCTGCGTATAATACAGATACACACACTGCTCTATGGTATAATACAGACAGACACACTGCTCTGTGTGGTTAAGGCAGACACACACACACTGCTCTGCGTATAATACAGATACACACACTGCTCTGAGTATAATACAGATACACACACTGCTCTGTGTATAATACAGATACACACACTGCTCTGAGTATAATACAGATACACACACTGCTCTGGGTATAATACAGACACACACTGACTACTCTGCATAAGGCAGGTACAAACACGATTGAGTACAATACAGATACACACAGTGCTCTGCAAATCATGGAGATACAGGCACAGCTCTGAGTACAATATAAATACACATGCGGCTTTGAATTTAATACACATGTACTGTCTACATCCGATAAAGATACATACAATACTCTGCATACAACATTGCACAAGCAGTTCTATGTATCAGACACAGAGATCAGAGATACACACTTTTCTGCGTATAATACTAAACAATCTGCTCTGCATATAATATAGATACACCTGTTGCTCTGTGTATGATAAAGATACATGCGCTGCTCTTAGTACAATACAGGTACACATATTGCTCTGAATATCATACAGATACACTTGGTAGGGTGCCCATGTATCCTGTATTGCCCAGGACAGTCCCGCATTTTGAGAGTCTGTCCCGGGTCACGGATACCTTCATTCCGGGACAATATAGTGTCCGGGAATAAGCTGAGCTGCACCGCCGCCGCAGGTATCTGACTCCAGGCCCGGACTGGCCTTCGGGCAAACCAGGCAAATGCCAGGTGGGACGCGATGGCCAAGGGCTGAGGCCGACCAGGGAGATCAAAGGATCTCCCCGGCTGGCAAACGCAGGGTCGACGCTCAGTGACCGCAGCCAAAACATGTGACAAAGTCCCTTGATGGGCCAGTGAGGAAACTGGAATTCTCCATCACCGGCCTATTGCACAGACAGGCAGAGCGGCTGAATTCACCTCCAGCTGGGGGCCGGCCATGTGGTCTGTGCCCGCGAGCTTTGGTTACTGAGAGCATTGCCGCGGGTTTCCATGGCAACGCTCTCAGTAACGGCAGAGCTCGTGGGAGGAAACAGCCAGAGAGGGCACTCAGCCCACTACACCACCAGGATACCCTCCTCCCTTGGCAAAAGGTAACAGAAGAGAGGTTGGGAATAAATGTACAGTTGTTTTTTCATTGTTATTTTTTCATTATGCCAATATAATATAAGCATATTTATAATATATATTTAATATCCCACCCAGCAACCTAAAAACCCCAACCACCTCAAACAATATAACATCAACCTCATAGACACTTAAGCCCCCTATGCACACAAGCACCTCCCCCCAAATCAGCCCCCTATACACACACACACACACAAAACAGGCCCTGTATATACACACTGAAGCTCCCTACACAGACAAGCACACGCACACACACACACCACAATCAGCCCCCTATATATATAAATTTGATGAAAGGCACTCATGAAAGTAAGTGTCCCTGAATGGCACTTAGGAAATGTGGTCACCCTAACACACGGTGCTCTGAGTACAATACAGATACACGCACTGCTCTGCATATAATACAAATACACACTGCTATGTACAGTACAGACACTACTTTAAAATATATACCGCCATACTGAATGTTTGCATTTGGTCTTCTATCAACTATGTATATGAAAACCAATTATGCGGTTTTCTGTGGACCTGAGGAGTGTTGGCCATTCAAGGATAATCCCCTTTTGTGTTTGGGAAACAAATACTGAAGGTATACACCTTGTATATCAATGGAACACCTTAGAGGCGAGGTTGTCATTCCATGTGGGTCATCCTGATAACCATCAAAGATACCTGTATCCAGATTAAACTATGTTTTAAGTAGTAAATTATGTTGTTTTGTAACATAACATCAGAAATGTCCTAAAGACAGTTTGCAACGGTTAGAGTGATATTTATCATACTTAGTGTGCTGTGTTTCTAAAAAATATATTTTTTAAACAAAACAATGTTTATAGTTTATATGCAAAGGTTTCAAACTGGTATACTAAGTAACACATTATAGCCTGTGAGGAATACGTCTGTGTACAATTAAAGATATACCCAGGTATGTATTTGCTCATACAACTTTTGGGAAGAAGATAGCCATACGTGCATCCATCAAATGCTGGGAAAGTAATCAGATGTCCTACCAAAGTAAAAGTGTCCCGTTCTTACTTAGGTTACATTCCTCATCCTGTATGACTGAAATAATAAACAGAAATATTCATATTTACAACAAAATATAAATTGAATGAATCAATGTTATCGGGATCAACCAGTGTATATAAAAATAAATTGTGGTAGTTTTCATGAACTATAAAGCAAGCACCAGACAAATAAAATCACTCCAGCCGTAGTAGTTAGTTGGTTTCAGTAGTACCTCATTAAGTAATAAGCTTTGAAACACACCAAATCTCTCCAGTATAATCCAGTACCTGAAGGGTCAGCAACAAGGTTAATGCATAACTTTGGTCATCAGAAAAGACCAGGAACAATGAGAGGTCTTTGCAACCAAGTAAGCACAACGTGTTTGGCTATTCATTCCACAAGGCAGGTATGGATTTATAGAGGACATGGTCAAAATATGTGAAAATATGACGATCCTTCTATATAGTGGAATAGGCTATTTCAGTCTCACTTGTGGTTGGCAAAGGTATAACATCAAGCACACAGACATGCAATTTTCAGAGACATAAACAAATATTGGCAATAGAATGGCCCATAATGTGGATCTAAGGAACGTGTCACATTTCGGACAAGGTGGTTCATCATATCCCTGCCCTATTAAAGCTGTTTAAGGTAAATCTAAGGGATTTAAGATTCCATGCTTTGTGACAACACAAAGACTATCATTGCTATAAATTAGTGTGGAAGAACTGTACAAGTTTGCACAAAGCCCGATTTCAACCCCTTCCACATTAATTAGATCTTAGGCTGTGAGTCAGGCCTACTCGGTTGATATCATTGCCCATAAGTCCAAATTAATACCCACGGTTTTCTAACTAGATGTTAAACAAGCAGATGTCTGCATGCCAATTGTTTTGTAGTGTATATTGTATTTACGTTTGGGATGTAGTTTTGTTTTCAATTCTCACTCAGAGGTTGAGAGTCATATGTACTCGCCAAGTGTTCATTTGTTCTGGTGAAACTTCACACCAATTAATCTACTTAAATCAATAATTTGCAGGACCACTATTTGTCTCACAGACATTATTAAAAACTTTGCATATGACACCGTGTTCTAACTTAAACAAATTACTCCAAGCCATTTCAAAGACAAAATTGTCAATGTGTTGCATTTGTTATAGTAAAAAGGTACCACCTTAAAAAAGATGAAACCTACAATACCCCCAAATCCCTGCCCCATTGTTGTGTGTGTTTTCTCTGGTGTACCTCTTATGGGAAAAACAGATAAAGTTCTACATTAATAGTAGGGCGATTTGTGAAATGCCAGCAGTTTCTGGGCATTTGTGCTAA